GTTCAGTGGGAGCAAGTATATTTTTCTGATTTTATATGTCGATGACATATAGCTTGCCAGCAATGATATATGCTTATTGCACAAATTTCAAGCAAAGAATTTTGAGATGAAAGATCTTGATGACGCCTATTTTGTATTAGGAATTCAGATACACCAAGATCGTTCTCGGGGTATTCTTGGATTATTACAAAAGAGTTATATCGAAAAGGTACTTAAAAAATATGACGTGCAAAATTGTAAACCAGATGACACCCCTGTGGCTAAAGGAGATAAGTTCAGTTTAAGTCAATGCCCCTAAAAATGACTTGAAAATTAAAAAAATGCAGAAGATTCCTTATTCCTCAACTATAGGGAGTCTAATGTATGCTCATATTTGTACGCGTCCGGAGATAGCGTACATTATTATGATGCTAGGGAGATATATAAGTGACTCGAGAATGGATCGTGATGAAGCAGCCAAATGGGTCATACGGTATTTATAGAGAACAAAAGACTACATGCTCACATACAGGAGATCAGATCAGTTAGAGATCATCAATTATTCTGATTCTGATTTTGTGGGATGCCAAGATAGTAGGAGATCCATTGCTATGAAGCATCAAATCATGGAATATGACTACGTAATTTTGTCACTGAGCTGCGCATTATGGACAATATAGAAAGACCGTTCAAGTTATTTTCTGATAATAAATCAGCAGTGTTATATTCCAATAACAGCAGGAGCTTGAAGAAGTTGAAACATATAAAGATCAAGTTCCTGGCTGTCAAAGAAAGAGTTCAGAGTGGACAGGTGTCAATAGAGTATATTGGGACAAACTTCATGGTTGCGGATCCGCTTACTAAAGGATTGGTACCCAAGGTCTTTTATGAGCACACTGCTCATATAGGTGTAATGTCTCTTGAAAATATTTAGTTTTAATGGGAGTTTGCATTTTTTGTGCTGGACACATATACTGCCATTTTGGATATAGCTTAAGGTTAAAGTTATTTTCGGTTATAAGGTTTATTTGGTTTATTATCTCTGAACTTGTATAAAATGATCTCACTAAAATATTAAGGTGGACCAGTTGAAAATAGGCATGTTACAGATCACATCACATCACATGTAATTTCCATGCTACATATCTATGCTTGATCCATGTCATTAGATTATATTGATATACGTGACCATTGATGGGTTTAGTTACAATGAAGGTAGCGAAAGCTGCTTTGGTCCTATATTGATATGATTGACGGACTGGATTGTTTGGGGATGCATTCAGTAATTTTAGCAAAATTCTGAGTACTTATAAGGTTATATTTAATGTACAATTTAAGGTGACACATATAGCTCAAGTATGAGATTGTAAGGATTTTTAATCCATCGATGAGCTTATATGTGTGAATAATTGTGTGTTAAATTAAAAGCTATCGAATTCGGTTGAACCCAATTAAAGTGATCTAATAAGATTTCGATTTTGGACCATTATGTATCCAATTAAATTGTGGATTACATATGTGTAGAGACCGGGCCTAAGTCCCTAATTCCATTATGGGCCGAATTAGGTCAAAAGGACATCGCTATATAAATACGGTTATGGTCCTCGAATCACACGTAGAGAAAATATTGTGTTGTTCATTCTCTTCTACATCCCATCACAGAGAGAAAATAAGACAACTTGTAGATTTGGAGGACTAAATCGCGAGATTCAAGTATTGCATTAATTATGTCTCATTCAAGTACGCTTTTGCTATAATTTATGTATTTCTTGATTATTTCACATGAAAGATCCGATATTTTAAGGTAATAAATTATGAGAAAATTTCATTGGGTGTTAAAATTTGGCTTTGCATTATCAAAAATGTCACTATTTAAATTTTCTATCAAAAATGTCAATTTAGGACATTTTTTACCCTCTGAATTATTTGAATACATTATATATTAATTTTAAAACAGGGGCTTGCAAATTATGAATTTGCATAACAGACCCTTGTCTCCAACATCAAATCTGCTGTTGAAAATCTAGAATTTTTTAAAAGGAAAGAGGAGGGAATTTGAAGTTAGAATCTCCTCATGCTGATCTTTTCTTCGGATTTTACTAAGAGAATTCTTCAAGTTCATAATTATTTTCTTAAGTTTCTTGTTCTTGATATTCATGAATTTTTTTAGTTTCAAAATTCATTCATATGCGAAATATGTTTATGGATCATTTTGGTGCTTCAATTCATATGTTCATTTATTAATGATGGGTCCCCTCATGTGTGAGGAGGCTGTACACCATGCTGTATAGTATGGTGTACAACAAGCATGGTTGTTTCTTCTTCCACTGTCTTTAAAACTCTCTTTGTAGTCGGATGCTCAGTGCAATCCATTATGACCTGCTATTAGGAGTGCACATTGGCTATGGTTCACCAATTATTGCATCCTTGCGGCCATCTCGTAAACCAGACACAACAAAGGGCGGGTTAACTACCTTGAGAGGGTACCTCGATCCTAGCACAATGATTTATCCACGTCAACAGACTTCCATTGAGATAATTCTTTTCTTGTTTCCATAGCGAGTTTCATATTACTTCTAATTTCGAGTTAATCGCTCCAATAGTTATTTAACTTAGGTCCATGTCTTTGATTGGTCACTAAATTTTAAAATGCCGAGTTTTGGCCACTGAACTTTGAAAAATGTTGAGTTTTGATAATTGAATTTAGGTTCATATCTTCGAATACTTACTGAAATTTAAAATGACGAGTTTTGACCATTGAACTTTGAAAAATGTTATACATTACCTACTGAACTTTGAAAAATATTGTATATTACTCATTTAACTTTGAAAAATGTTGTACATTATTTACTGTAAACTAAATATTTTTCAAAATTCAACAATTATACTATTGAGAAATGTTCGGTGACCAGAACTCGACATTTTAAATTTCAGTGAGCAATATAAGACATTGACCTAAGTTCAGTGATCAAAACTCGACACTTTAAATTTCAGGATCAATGAAAGACATAAACCTAAGTTCAGTGATCAGAACTCGACATTTTAAAATTCAGTGATCAATTAAAGATATGAATCTAAGTTCAATGATCATTGGAACAATTTACTCTCTAATTCCTCTGCAGTATTTTGGATAATCTTAATTTAGTTTCGTCCTTGTTTACTAATATTTTCCTGGCAAATTCCAGCATATCCATTCATGTTTAAAGCAATTTCACAGCCAACAATGTAACCCGCAAAAATATAAATCAGTGATCACATATGAAAAATGTAACAACGAAAATATAGTTAAATAAAAGAAATCGAAACCATAAAGTTAAGAATCAACCACATCAATTAGAGAAAAGGGGTTTCTCCAAACTTTGTTCATACATTGTATTTGGTAGCTGTAAAATCATTTGGCGGCGCCATCTCCTCAGGACATAATTTAGTGGTGTAAAGGATAGGAGTGGGGTTATCTCACGCCTTGCTGGCAGCCGCAGTATGGGGGTTCGATTCCCGAAATATGGAATTAGACTCCTTGTAGGCGCAGTGTACAGACAGCTCTTGTTCCCTAACTTATTGGGACACATCCTGCGATTTACGTCTCTCGCAAAGCTCTAGGGATGGAGCGGTGGGAGCTCTCAAGGTTGGGGTTCAACCTTTTTTTAGAAATAATGCTTTTCTTGGATTTTGCAGCTCCATTATAATGGCCCCTGCCACTGCTGCAAATGTTGGAAGGGGTGCAAGAAAACGAACTCACCAATGAAACCATGCTTCTTTTTTTTAATAGAAACATTTTGGAGACCACCCAGATTCAATATCATCAAATATGAGATTGAATTTTTGGGATTTTAAGAGTTTATATCAAAATTTGTAAAGCTTTTTGGATTTTGACGAGGAGAAAGTAGTGCCCTGGGTCTCTTGTGACGGTGGAAGGGCAGGGTGGTCCCGGGAAGAAAACATGAGAAATTTGCAGTTGAATCATCAAACTTTGACAAATGGAGTATATGGTCCTTATTTAATTTTTCCTTTTTGATCTTTCTACTTCGTGCGCTCGTAGAAATAAACAAATAAAAAATTTAGAAAAACAGTCGAATAGAACTTCCATTTGCATACAATTTACAAATTTAGATAAATATTAATTTCAACTGCACGTTCATATATATTACTCGTTATTATTATTTACATATTTCGTTTGATTCATTATTATTGATTTCACTATTCTTATTTGTAAATTTGTCAAATTGAGAATTAAATCTCTTTGAAATTTTCATGTTCTCATCTCTTTATATTTATAAAAACTTATCCCTTTTTCTAAGGGTCCAAATCGAAGGGTGCATGTATTATTTCTCAAGTCATTCTTGTAAATGGAATTAATTTTTGATAATTTTTTAATTGATGTATAATGTGTCTATTTATAATCTTAGCACAAATCATATGAGTTCATGGAAAATCGTTATTATACATGGATTTTTTTATTTGATTTTATATTTTATAAACATTAGCGTGGGATTCGAATAATCTATTGCATTTCACCTAACATAAAAAAAAGTCACATTGTCTGTTCCCCATCAAACAGTCTCATGCAAGTTTTTTGGTATAAACTTAATTTGGTGTCAACTGAATCTAACCAAAACATTGTCAACAACGACCGTCTAGCCCATCTCTTGTGATTGATTGAGTTTTTTATTTGATTTTATATTTTATAAACATTAGCGTGGGATTCGAATAATCTATTGCATTTCACCTAACATAAAAAAAAGTCATATTGTCTGTTCCCCATCAAACAGTCTCATGCAAGTTTTTTGGTATAAACTTAATTTGGTGTCAACTGAATCTAACCAAAACATTGTCAACAATGACCGTTTAGCCCATCTCTTGTGAGTGATTGAATAAAATACCGTTGAAAGAAGAGGTGGAAGTATCTCTCATGACCTTTTAACAAGACATTGGGTACAAAAGGATTCAATTGCACCAAAAATCAAAGTTTGAGGACGTAAATGTCAAAATTGCAGTCAACTTAGGCTTAACAAATGTCATCCATCTTCAGTACAATACAAGCAGCAGCTGCTGCAAATGGCTATGTCCACGGTTGCTTTTAGATATACGCCTCCCTCATTCAGCACATTTCCGATCTTGAAAATACCACCACCATTCAGAAATTCTACCAAGATGATGTCTTTGAAAGGCAATACCTCTATTTCGTCCCTTGATGACAGTTATGGTAAGAGTAATACAAAAACAAGGAAGCTGCCGATACTTCTATTCGATGTCATGGACACCATCGTCCGAGACCCTTTTTATCACGATATCCCCGCCTTCTTCGGGTATCTCTCTTTATCAAACTCTCTCTCTCTCCCCTTTTTTTTTTTTTTTTTAAATTCTTGGTTGAGTACTTTGATCTTTACTGGTTGGTTGTTAATGCTGTGAAATTGTTCCAGTTGTTTTTCACTGTTATATGTTTCTCAATTAATCAATTTAAGAGCGGTTATTGATTTAGCTGGAAAATGTTCACCTTTATAAGTTGTTTCACTTGAATTCTGAAATTTATGTAAACAATATGTTTTCTTTGAGGTGATATTCTTACAAGTAAAAATCGAATTCTAATTTGACTTTTGTTTGAGATTTTAATTGTAATCCTCTGACAGTGGTGAGGATATCTTACAAAATATAAATGGAAATGAAGCTAACGTAAGTCACACCTCTACATTGAGTTGTTTCCCTTGAATTTTTGACATTTATGCACACAATTTATTGTCTTGGCAGGGGAATTCTCATAAATGAAAAACGAATTCCAGTTTGGTTTTTGGTTTTGTGAATTTAAATGGTAATAATCCTCTGACAACGATGAGGATATCTTATAAAATATAAATGGAAATGAAGCTGACATAAGGCACAATGTTAATACCAAGAAGTGTACGATTTAAAGAGTGTGGCAAAATATCAACGAAAACAAGATCATGCCCCCAACAGAAAGATTCTTAAGTTTCTGACACTAGTTTTTTGTAGCAAGCTGTGATCTTCTACCATTTTCCTTTTCAAATAATAGTTTGATGACAAAAGATTATTCAAGATGCCGATATATCCGTGTGAAGAAATGAATCAGCTTTAGCCCTTGCTTTTGAACAATAGAATTTCTTGTGCTCAGTTTTTTGTTAGCTGAAAGCAGCCAGAGGGGCTCCCTTCCCTCCTCTATTAGTGGGCTCTGTCCCTTGTTTCATTGGTCCGCAAGTCCAAGTAAACAATATTTAGCTTACGTGACATTTTGACATGGATTAAAGCTTTTTTAGCTTGAGTTTTGTCATTTCTGAAGAAAATTATCCATTTAGCTTTGCCCAATTTTGGGGGAGACAATATTCTTAGTGTGCTCTGGCTCAAAAATCACAAATATTCAAAGTTGGCATAGTTGAATTGTAAAGACGAAAGTATTTGTTTGGCATAACACCAGTATTTCTAAATTATCAATATTTCCTTCATCCTTATGTTTAAAAATGTTTATATGTGTGTAGTGATGATTGTTCTCTCCTTGAACTCTGTCTAAGTGAAAGGCCAAATGTCTGGGAGTGAATAAAATGCGCCCCCCCCCTAAATACCTAGAATTTTGAATTTATCAATATAGGCCTGTTCACTACTTTGCTTCGCTAAATATCTTTTCTTAAGACTTGGGACTTGCTTTTGAAATGAGCCTTTTACTTAGCTTGAGTTCTGTTTGGGATTCCTACCATGAGATCTGCTTGAATAGCCAGGACATCTGTAACTTGGGTCCTTTCACTATTTTCTGATAGCTGTTACCGACAACCTTGAATTCTTTACCTTTATTCTGTATTCCCTTCCTTTTGCATAACAACCTTTTCTGTTTAACTACATAGATCATAATTTTCCCTGTTCTGTTGGCATTTGAGATTTCTTGTTCAGTTTGTCTATGAAGGAACTTCTAGAATGCAAGCATCCTACTGCCTGGATAGAGTTTGAAAAGGGTCTTATTAATGAGGTATATCACTAATACTGTGAATGTTTATTTTGATGGAACTGTTACTACTAGCTTCTGATAAGTGAAGAAAAAAATCTTCTGATAATGAAACTACTGCCATTTGGGCACATGCTTAGAGAGGATGTTTCACCAATAATTGGAATTTTGTAATTTTAGGCAGTACAATACATATCTATTGGCCTTACAGAGTCAATGCACAATTTTCTTGGATTCATATTAATGGATTTAGATCTGTTGCATTACCATACTAAACTTATTCTTGGGGCAGTCTGAATTCTAAAATATAAGTGTGGGCTTATCTTGGTTTGAAAAACTAATATAAGTTGGGCTATTGATGGGTGCAAGCTTATGGATCAGACTTACAATCCCCTAACAACTTATCATCGTAACAATTCTTTAGTTTTGCTTGTCCTCTGGACCCAAATATGTAGCACCCCAAAATTTTCATAAATCTTGAGGTGTTATGAAAACTCACTTCTGTTTGTTTTGAACATGGAACGATAATTTTCTTTATAAATAAAAGTGCTGAATATCCATAAACTTAAGTTATACATGAAAAAAATATAGACATGAATGATTAATTAATTTAAAAACATGTTTTTGAATAAATTTAAACTAACTAAAATTTAAAGACATAAAAACTTAATGTTCCTTTGATCTACTTGACAGCCCGCATCACCATCTTGCCACAGATCCAATCAACCCGAACTAGCCTGTAAAATTACAGCAAGAGTGAATATTTAAAAATACTCAGTAAGAGACGTGCAGTTTTCATAGACAATTATATGACATTGAATTAAATATTGCATACCATATTTCTTATGAAGTATAACGATGACCAAGCAATACACTCATTAGTAGTACTTTGAATTCCCGAAGGATTTCACACGTCGTTAGAAAGAACTCAGTACAGTTCACATTCCGTTAGGTCGAACTCGAAAGTCTACAGGCAATTCATGCATAATTAATTGAACATAAAAGTATACGAAAACAACCACTTGCATATAAAGTATCTTACCTCGTTAGATCTAACAAATTGTTGAACTAAGTATGAATTCACTTTCCAAATTATTTTCCTAAATCTCTCTGCCACCGTGTTAAATTTGTCGGTACTATCTAGTTTTGTGTGGTGAATAATGCAGCCTATTGCTTGATATTTATAGTTGAAACAATAGAGTTTTGAAACAATTGAAATATAGTTTATGTGTTCCATACAAATTTGTCAAGATAGGTTTCAATATGTAGATAAAATATAACTATCACATCAAACTTATCAATCTATTTTATAGGCTACATAGGACACGCACGTGGACCAATGTTAATTGGTTTCATTGAATTGGATTATATATAGGGTCCAGTACCTAGTATAATAATTGTATTTCATGCAACTAGGAGACAATGCCACGTATTGCTAATGCATTTGTACAAAAAGAGGTTTTATTTTATAGAGGTGTACTAGCATTAGGATTACCTTAAAACTTGTTTTTCCTAGTCAACTTATTATTCAAATCCCAAGGGATAATAGTGAAAGGAGCTACAAAACTAATCAACTAAAAAGGTTTTCTATATCCAACCCTAGATAGACATGATTGCCCCACATCCAAATCCTATTTTAGTAAAAATAAAAACTAATAAATGATAATTCGTTTAAACTTGGCCCAACTCTAACTTATCCAAATTAGCTTTTTCTTAGGTCAAAGACTTTTAATTAATTACGACCTACAAAAAGAGTCCTTGATATTTAAGATCTCTTTCTATTGATACTTAAATATTTGGCCCAAGTCTAATTTATCCAAATTAGTTTTTTCTTAGGTTGAAGACTTCTAATTAATTACGATCTACAAAAAGAGTTCTTGATATTTAAGATCTCTTTCTATCGATACTTAATTATTTGGCCCAATTAAAATAGGAATTTAGAACCTTTCATTTTATTCCTCAATTTTTCAAAATATACAAATATGCCATATAAAGCAAAATCAATTTTTTTTCTGAAATTTCCGGGTGTTACAAAATAATTCTGGAGCTTTGTTGTCCACCTCGTAAACTGAGAGACAATAAAATTTGGTCCAAAGGGAAGCGCCACCGTCTTGTGGAAATATTTAAAGGAAGGATGTATAAGTTGAAGCATCCCAAGTGACAATGATGGAGTTAATTTCACTCTTGATGATTTGAAGGAGGATTTTATTGTAGGATAAGGCAGATGTACAGATCAACAAAATATTTTTCAGATTCATATAATAAAAACTTTCAAAGGGATGAATTAGATTTGCTACTGGCTGTGCCTCTCTTAAGGTCCAGAACTTTGTATCTTCTTCTTGCAAGCATTTGTTTGGTTATGTTGTCATCTTCTTTCCTTTAGATAAACCACTGAATGGGTGGGCTTCTTTCAGGACTTCCATAAGGGTTCTCGAATTTTTGACTTTGATGGTTCTGTCATATCGTGTTTATACTGCATCAATCAATTTGATTCCCGAGAATGAAACGGACCCCTACAAAAGAGTGCGAATAAACAGCTCAAGTTTTGAGTAGAGTAGTTATAACACCCCGAACAGAACAATAGATTCTCCTTACCATATGAATTGCATATGCCTCTAAAAGATTCATCTACATTTATTATGGAATACTAATTTATCTTCAATAAGTACTTTAAACTTTCACCTTTTATATCTGAACCATTCAATCTGTGAAAAGGATATATTCTTATTACAAATTGCATGTAATTGAGTTGAAGCTGACTGGTGAATAATTTTGCCTTGACTTTGCATTTTATTTGTTTTTCATATTCTAATTTTAGTTATTTCCAGATGGAGCTAGCTAGAAAGTTTTTCAAAGATGGAAGGTCATTTGATTTGGAGGGTAAGTGAGAACTCTCACCGGACAGATAGATTACCTATCTAATATAAAAGAATCCTACGCTTATTTTATTGATCATAAATTGTCTCTGTATGCAACCTTATTATTGTTCTCATGAGATTCTGATCAAGCATTGACTTGTAGCAATGGGCGTGCTTTTCTGCTAAATGCTGCTATTCACAATGATGATTGTAAAATATTGATTTTTTATTATTATTATTTTTTCCGGGGAATGTTGAATGGACAAAAGTATTTAACAAAGATTTTTGACAAATAATCTCAACTCTTGTATCAAATTAATCTAATGGTGTAGATCTAACTTAACAAAATATAATAATTAATAATATTTCAATGTGATTTCTTGAGAATGAATTTTTCCTTCTTTTTGTTACAGGTTCTTTCACTTTTTTCGATTCACTGATTAGGTTTTTGTCTTTTTTAATTTTTTAATTTTTTTTTTTTTTTAAAAGTTAGATCTACGCCATTAGATTAATTTGATACGAGGGTTAAGATTATCTGTCAAATACCTTTGTTAGTTGAATGCTCCCCTTTTATAATTTTAGATGTTTGGGATGCATTATTTTAATTATTAAATAATTTTAGAATGATTAAGTATTTAAAAAAAAAAAAAAAACCCTTTTTACGCCTAAGCCTAGGCTCGTAAAGCTTGAAACTTAGCTTTCACGCGTAGTCACACTTATATGGTTTTTTAGAGCACTGTTATACTCTTTTTTGAGGCCTTCCTACTTGGTGCATTTCTAGAATTTATCATCAAGCAATTGCCATTTCTTGACTTGACCAGCCACTTACCAACTTCAGTTCACACCTTCATAAAATTACTGACCACTCTTACCTTTGAAATCCAAAGGGGGCAGAAAAACTAACCAAGCTAGTTGAAACTTAGGTTGAGATTGTGTTTGGCTTAACTAGAGCTCTTGTGACATTGGACTCAATGGTAGAGCACTCAGCTTGTAAGTTCAGCTAGAATCTTTTACATATTTGGATGAAACAAGGAATTTGTCCACACTATCAGTAAGTTAGTAAGACTGTGATGATCGCGAAAGGGAATGAATGGCAAAAATACCATGTCATATCAATGGAGGCTTGTTCAGAAATCAAGCCTAGGTTGAACTCAAGTAGCTGCTTGGCTAAAAAATTAAACTAAGCTTGGACCATTCTATTTTCTTTTTAGCTCAGTTTGGCTCCTTTCAAACTTTTATCATTGAACAAATGGAAATGGAGAAACAAAAGTAGGAAATGAATTTTTTGTTTAAAAATGAGAGAAAAGCGAGTCTAAATGGGCCTAATTATCATTTGCCTTCTCATCAAGTAAATCCTCATGCTTTTCCCCATTTATTTTTCTTACAAATTGTGGAGATATGAATAGCATTCTTCCTTGCAGGCCTCAAAAGCTGTATGAGAACAGGATACTCTTATATTGAAGGGGTTGAAGAATTACTTCAAGCTTTAAAGAAAAATAGATATGAAATGCATGCTTTCACTAATTACCCCATCTGGTATATTCAGATTTTTTAGCTTGTAAAATCCTTAGAGAGCCATTTGACTCTAGTTTCTTTATCAAAATTTTCTCTTGCAGGTATAAAATAATTGAGGACAAGCTAAAACTATCATCTTACTTCTCCTGGACATTCTGTTCATGTATGATGGGTAATTTCCATGTCCTTATTTTGCACCTGGCGTTCTCTGTCTTAGAGCTGCAAACTTACTTTCCATATTTAGCTTCTGCTTAAAGGGTTTTGATTATTGATTTTTTCATGAAAAGGGATTCTATCTCAAATCAGAATGTTCCTGTTGTTTTGGTTGAGTTATTAAAAACCTCTATCTTATTGGATTACAACCTTAAATGATTTAGAGAACATTTTCGATTGATTCATTTGTCGCTCGCTTCAATTGCTTCGTACCTTCTCTCTACATTGCGTTCCACTTGTTCTCTGCCTTTTTTTGTCGTCTTTTGTTCTCTTTTCACAATCCATGTCATTGATGTTGCAAAAATAATTGGACTGTAGAAGATAGAAAGGAAACAAATGGTGAAAATATAATAAGTGAAAACTGTCAACAATATTTAAAAACGAGCAGTTCATAAATTTGTGTGGGCACAATCGTATGAACCTTATCTTGGAACCTTAAGGCCATTAAAGTTCGGGAATTTGGTTTCTCTACAGGCCTGTTATACCTTATCTTATTGATCCTATGCTTCTGTAATGAACTTGATCGTGGATGGTTAATGAGTTTTGATGCTGTAGCACTTTTAAGTTCTTGTTACATTTATACTTGTCTTATGACATGCTTGATTTCCTAGTGATCATCCATTCAGTTCAAGATCTTGAAGAGCTTGATCATGCCACAGGCTTTGTTTTCTGGGCTTACTTCTCTCAGTTCGAGATCATACGGATGAACCTTCAAGATTATCTGTAGCCAAGTTTGCTGTCTTATAATCCCTCTCTCACTTCCACTCCTTTGAGTCCAAAATCAATCTGATGAATTTTTTTCTAATCTCACAAGTTATGATGTACAGCTGAAGTCTTGATGTCACTATGTAATATGAACCCAATGATGCAGCACAATATGTCCAAAAAGAGAACATGGAGAAGAAAAAATTACAATAGAGGAAGAGAGAAGAAAAGAGACGAGAAGAAGATTGTACTTCGAAGGAAAGCTACCAGACCAACAGAATGAAAAATTACCTAATTCAGAATTAATAACTATGAAAAGAAAGAAATAATGAAATTCAATCTAAATAACTACCAAAAGAATCATGCTACAGTGATATGATCATTGACATAATGGTTTACATAGTATCACATGGCATTTCATCATTTGACTATTTTAAACACGATTAGCTTTTTCATCCAATCACATCTTGCTAACTAACATTATGTTACTTCATTTGTCAACAATTTTCTGTCAAAGTGGCATAACCCCTTCCAAAATGTTCCTTGTTCTTCTGCCTAAAGTTAAAATCTAGAATCGTTATGGTAAGCCTTCACCCACTCTCATCTCTTATGCAGCTGTCAAGGATAAGTTTTGAGATGCAGAGTTTGTCCTTCTGTGAAACCATCAACCAAGACTTCGAACAGTTGAAATTAACTGATGGAGTTCATCATAGACATTAAATTGAAGACTTACCAGTTTTAGCCACTCATTCTAGGAAAAGAAATTGGATTTATATCAAGGGATTTTTTCTTATAATTGATTTATATCCACTGCAGCAAAAATTCAACCTTTAAATTATCAGTTACAATTTTCTCCTCCGGGTGCCCTCTAAGCCAACCTAAACTTTGCGAATGCAGGGAAGAGAAAGCCTGATCCTGATATTTACTTGGATGTTTTGAAGCACCTAAAGGTTGAGCCAGCAAACTGTGTTTTTGTTGATGACAGGTACTGTTACTATTTTCGGTGAGAATTTACGGATTGATGAAGCACGGATAATGGATCTCATGCAAGAACTGATCCATTATTATACCAATAACCATAGTCGAATTTCTTTTTGTTTTAATGTGCAAATTTATGCTCCACAGGATGTTTGACACTTTGTACTTTTTGTCACTTAAACTAGTGATCTTCTATTGTGCATGCTGGTTTTGATCACTTTTTTTTTGAGATTTTGATGAAGTTTGTAACAAGAACATAGCATGATCTAATACATTAACCCTACATCTTGCCCGAAAGAGATGCAAAATGATGTTTATTTCTTAGAGCATTCGTGCTGCTTCCTTTGTGTTTATGCTGGAGAATGAGGCATTCTGTTTGTTGATCACTGACATGTATTATGGTTTACTGCAACAGGATGAGAAATGTAGAGGTAGCTATTGATGCTGGCTTCATCGGTCTTCAATTCAAGAACGTGGATTTGCTGCACAAAGATCTCTCTCGCCTAGGCATTCATATTCAAACAAGTGAACTCGACTTTGCAGATTGTTCACAATAATGCTATCCTCCCTGAGCTAGTAATTACTGTTTGTTTTTATACTTTTCATTTTGTTTCTTTTTTGCTGCTCTTCTTTTGGCTTAGAATGGTGTAGACTACAATAAATTCTTCAACATATAATCACGAAAATAAGAAATCATCAATTGTAAAACTCGATATTTTTAGATTCTGATGCAGAGGGAATCACCTTTGCTTACAAAGCTGTTGTATCTTATAATTTTTTAAAATGTTATGAAATTAGTTGCAAAGGTTATTGAATTGTTGCCAGCCAGTGAAATGGGAGATATGAAAGGTTTAGCTCCCAGTTTTGTGGAAATTAAAATTAGATTTTTAGTAGATTTTGATAAAAGTTAATTAAATGCATGGTTAAAATTAGTTGTTGACTTGACCTAAATTAAAATTTTAATCAAATAGGGGGCTTGGTGATTGGATAAAATTCAATTCAAATTGCTCAACCCGATCAATCCAAATCAAACATATCGGTTTGGTTGGTTTTTTAAGTTCAATTGTGTTGTGTTGGGTTGGGTTGGGTTGAGTTGAAAAATTAAATTTGGGGGTGGTGTTGGATTGGATCTCGAGTTATGATTTAAAACTCAATTCAACCTGATGAATTAAAAAAAGTGGAAATTACACCACAACTTACTTTAAATTTCAGAATTTTAAGATTAGGTTGGATGTTTTATTGTTCAAAAATCAAACGTTTTATATTTAAATATTAAATATTATAATACAAAATTTATCACAAACCCTAATTAATTTCTCATTTCATTCCTCTCTCTTCATCCCTCTCCTATCTTGTTTCTCTCTCTATCCTCACTTTCTCTTCTTTGACGAAGACGTAGTTGTCGTTTCCATCGTGCTCAACAGGCGACCATCTAGTGACGTCGATCTGAAGCAGTAGCCCCACTACGAAGATAATGCTGTAGCCCGTCACTTTGAAGAAACCAACATAGCCGTGCGATGTCGAGACGCTGGCGACCATTACAGCCACATGAAGGGCTATTGCGCACAAGGTCATTGGATGGCTAAGAGGTATTGCAGTGGTTGAGTGCCGATGATGTTAGATCTATTGGTTAAGCGTCGAAGTTTTTGGGCTAGTTTTTGTTGGTGGTGTGGTGATATTGGCGATGGCGGCGGTGATTCGTTTTTTTTCTTACGACACGATAATAAAATCTGGATTCCCGAATTTTCATGCTATCATGGTTTTTAGCAATGGCGACATCAATCTTCAGCTCGATTAGATTTGCTTTGTGGGGGTTTTCATGTTAACTCGTAGTGGTGATGAGGTATGACAATGGTGGTGAATTTGTTTAGGGTGTGGTGGTGCTACTTGTAGTCATGTTAGGGTGTAGCTGTAGTCGCGGTGGAGTATGGCTGTAGTCACGGCGGCGGCGTGGTTGGTGGTGGCGACTGCGGCGATGACTGCTTGAGATGGGGTTGGATGCTCATGACCAATAATTGGTTAATTTGTATTACGTGATCTAAAAGTTTTGACTGTCCCTCACAATTGATTAAGTTATGATCAAAAAATTAATTATGACCAATTAATTAAATAATTTGTAGTGAATAAATGAGTTGTGACCAATAAAAATTTTGATTTTATGATCGATGAATAATCAGTAACTTATAAAAATTTTTATTTGTTATCAATAAATAAGTTGAGACCAATAATTTGATAAGTTATGATTGAAAATTAATTTGGAACCAGTTAATTCATAAATTGTGACCAATTTGCATAGAATTGTGGCCTTAAAATATCTAATTAATAAAATAAATGTTAAATGAATTAATTTATAAATAAAATTTAAAAAAAATCTGATTTTTGAAATCTGAAACTCTTATTCTTAGTTTTGAAATGGGAGATACTTAAGGGATGTATTCAATTGGGACTTTTGAAAACTTTAATGAACTTTTTTTAAGTGATAACTTTTGTGGATTTCGTAGACCTTTTATAGATTTGTATGAAATTAGTGAAAGTTTTTCATAGACTTTTATGGATTTTCATTTAAAATTTTTTATAAACTTTAGTGGAATTCAAAATACTTTTGAAAACTTTCATTTGAAATAAAACTAACGTGTATTTCGTGTGAAATTATCACATAGGTGTTAGTTCCCACAATTCTCCTTCTTTTTCCCCTTATAATAAAAAAATTGAAATTCTTAGTTTTGAAATGGGAGATACTTAAGGGATGTATTCAATTGGGACTTTTGAAAACTTTAATGAACTTTTTTTAAGTGATAACTTTTGTGGATTTCGTAGACCTTTTATAGATTTGTATGAAATTAGTGAAAGTTTTTCATAGACTTTTATGGATTTTCATTTAAAAATTTTTATAAACTTTTGTGGAATTCAAAATACTTTTGAAAACTTTCATTTGAAATAAAACTAACGTGTATTTCGTGTGAAATTATCACATAGGTGTTAGTTCCCACAATTCTCCTTCTTTTTCCCCTTATAATAAAAAAATTGAAAAAAAAAAAATTATGATCTTAATTAAATAAATAATAATCAAAATTACACACACACACAAACATATGATTCAATATTATTAGTATAATATAATTTTGAAAATAAATAAAAATCAATATATTTAAATTTAATTATAAAATTTTCATATAAATTTTTATAATTTAATAAAAAAATAGATATTTTTTCACAAAAAAAAAAGAATGAAAAAGAAAAAAGCTACAAGAATCCAATTTAATTTTTTTTATAGAAAATAAAGATAAATAATAAGAGAGAGGAAGAAAGATAAATGAAATATAATCAATAAAAAAAAAATAAAATTATCAATAAAAAAAAATTTAATCATACTTATCCATGGAAGTTAGAGGAAAGAAAAATTGAAAAAAAAAAAATATGAGTACTTTTTGCTTAAAAGTTAGTACTCCAGAGATTTTTATAAAATTTGAATACCCCAAAACTTATAAAGATTTTTAAAAAATTTTAATTAAATATAATGTAACTTTTAGAGATTTTTTAAAAGTTTATACAAATCTTAATTGAATACATCATGACTTTTAGAGAGTTTCAAAAAATTTCAATTGAATACACCTTAAACTTTTTAAATCCCAAAAAGTCATTAAAAGTCTCAATTGAACACATCACATTCTTAGCTTCTTAGTTATAAAATTTTTCCTTAAAAAAATTAATATCTAAGATGGAAAAAATCTAGATAAACGCAATAGTACAGATATGAGAAGGACTTATAATTTATAAAAGTTCATTTTCTTTACATAGATTGATACACATGAACACTATGTACAAATAAAATGTTATTTGACAATAAAGTAAAAATTAAGACCATGATTATGAAATGAATAAATTCCAAAAAATTGTTAAAAAAAGATGCTTCACAAAATTTTGAACTTATTTATACACTATTTTTTTTGGAAAGAATTCCTCATATAGGTATTTAAAAAAAACCACAAAGGTTTTCAAGTAATTTCAAACTTTCAAAATTTATCCAAATTTAACAAAAAAATAATCGTATCCAACTTGGGCTGAAGTCCAAATCGATAAACCCAATCCAACTTGTTCTGTTTGGGTTGGGTTTAAACTATTAATTGAGTTGAATTGATTTGATTTAGGGCAACTTACAAAAATATCTTTAAAATTACGAGGGTTTTACAAAATCATATGAAAAGTTTTTTAGAAGTTAAAAATATTGTGTAAAATTAAAAAGTGACACAATGTCACTTTTTTATAGGAGTTGTGTCACTTTTTTTTAGAAAAAGTGACACAATATCACTTTTAGAAATGTAGTATCACTTTTTTATTAAAAAATTACATACAATGTTACTTTTATTAAAAAGTAACGTTCATAACTAAAAAAGTGATAGAAGTTTCAAATAAGCAAATGACAAACATTAAAAAAAGTGAAAAATTCAAAAAAGTGAGAATTACTAAAAAAGTGACAAAAACTTAAAAAAAGTGACAAATATAAAAAAGAGACACAAATTAAAAAAAGTTACACAGATTCGAAACAAATGAGAGGGCATAGAAATCAATTGTTAAGTGTCGTTTTCTTATTAAAAAGTGATATACAATGTCACTTTTATTAAAAGTGATGTTTGTCATTAAAAAAGTGATAGAAATCAAGAATGTAATTGAAAAAAGTGACAAACACTAAAAAAAAAAAAGTGACAAATTCAAAAAAGTGATAAAAATTCAAAAAAGTGACAAATTAAAAAATGATACATGTTGAGCTTGTTCATCACATGCATCTTCCATCTTTGCCTCATCAACAATTTCTAAGCTGAAATCCAATAGTACCTATTCTACCATGAATATTATCTAACTAATATTTCTATACAATTAAACACAAACTCGATAAGGAAGGGAAAAGAGGTGTCGACCATTCGTTACCGATCACATGGAAATCTTCTAAGCAAAGATTGAGATTTGTAATTCAAAAATTTGTGAGTTTGTAGTAACAAGTGTTTTCATACAGAAAGATCTAACTACCTTTGCCACAGGGGCACCTGAAATGAAATTTAACCATAGACATAAGATGCAAATTATACACTCAAGATCTAAATAAATACCGAAGCAACAATGGAACAATTATAGAAAAATCATAAGGTCGACAATTATTATTTTTTAAGATTAAACTATGAATTTATACTAGAAAAAGAAAAACAAGAACTCAATCTTTTTTTTTTTTTTTTTCACATTCAAAACACCTTAATTGGTCCTCTAATTCACGATTTCACAATGGATTTTAGTATTTTTCATCAAATAAATATTACCAAAAAAAGAAAAAAAAAAGAAAATAAACATGAGCGAGAGAGGTGAACTTTGTACTTCAAATCGGAGTCGGAAACACCGCCTACCATGGTGACGAGGAATGCATTGACGATGGGGAATAGTGGGCCAGAAACACTAAAAGTGTATTGACCGGAATCACCATAATGAAATTACAGATTTAGGGCTTGGTTGAGACTAATTCATGAATAATTAATAGTCAAATTTGGTATGATAATGGATCGTGGGAGAACAAACAAATCATTATGTTCATCTGTGTGTTCCGTTTCCTCGTGGATCTACACATTCCTTTACAAGAATCAACTGAATGGTAGGGTGGGGTGTTCGTGCAATTAGATTAGTTTTTGCCTTATTTGATTTTATTGTAACCGTAAAATTTATGGTTAATTAATGCTAATGAAAAGATAAAACTTTAAAAGTGTATTAATCAATTTTTTAATAAATGGGCCGTACGGGGCCTAATTTTACCTTTGATTTAAGCCATGTTGGTTTGGGAAAAAAATCGACCCGGCCCGATCGTTCCCATACCCACCCCTAGTCTCTGATTGCTCAAAAGATACAGATCATTGCAAAACATACCATCGGTTATGTTTGGAAAAATTACAGATAGGACCCCCAATTGATGATTTTACCATTTTCATTTAATTAATGAGTAGTTATATTCACACTACAACTTTTGTTTGCTACACTATACTTTAATCCAAATATTATGTTAACAGTCTTTGGATGAGGACAAATATTTTGGTGAAATTTGTATTTTTGGTTTATTTAAATGTATAAAGATTAAATAAGTCTTTTAATGCCATCCTAAAGAGTTTTATAGTAGATGGTTATATTACCATCGTAATAAGTGTTTAGTAGATTTTGATACGTGAAACATGTTGGTGAAAATGAGTTCCAGAAAAAAAAGTTTTAGAAAGTAAGGGTCAAACAAGGGCTAAATGCATCAAAATGGGTAGTAGTCCAAGCCGCGACCTAGCTAGGGGCAATGAGAGGAGGGCATGGCGGATCACGTGTCCCACCAAGTTTTTGACATTTTTTTAAACTAAAAATCACATAAAATAAATCTTCTATTTTAAATAATTCACCAACTACTTTTGTTGAATTTTCTCTTCTACAAAACACAATTTAAATGTCGGCTTCATCTTTGACTTTCATATCACTGTTTAAGTATGCTTTACCATACCTGATCGACGACACGTAAGTATCTACTAAATTTTTCTCGTGCGTGTGTATATATATATATATATATAAACTCGTAGGTATGTTCTCAGATGGTCCCTGAACTTTAACTTGTTAATATTTAATCACTAAACTTTTGACTTTGTACCGCTTCAAATGGATTAATGTAAAAAGCTCATTTGACTAATGATATACAAAGTTGGCAAATCATAGAAAAGCTAATTGTGACATCTTTATCGATATTAGTACGGTATATTACATCAATTGTGGTTAGGGTTTCGCAAGAGCCACCGAGAGATCTAACATTCGACTCGACCGCTGACAGTTGATTAATTGGCCGGCAATCAAATGAGTCTCACTGAGTTTGCGATGGTCAGTTCTAACCCTAACAAAATTCGAATTCTTATAAATGCTGCTGTTTTCTTTTGATTTATATTTCTCTTTTACCTTTTGTGTGTACTTCACGTCTTTGAATTTGGGAAAGGAGAAAGCCACGGCGAATTGAAATTTAAGATTATAATTAACTTTTTTAGTTTATGAAGTTCGTGTATTAGCTTACATTTGCTTGAATTTTTACATTCATTTAAGTACCTGGAATTCGACTTGTCTTGCTGCTGTATGCAATTATTAATAATATTAAATGGGGACAATGTGTAATGGGAAGAGATATTATTAGTGGGGTATTAGCTTGTTCGATTAGCTATCAGTGAAGTCAGTGCCTCTGGCTCGGGTTATATATTTCGGATGATGAAGTAGAGAATTAAGCAGCATATGAGGTGAGATTTTGAAAGGGTGAGACTTGGATATTATGAGAATCCCATTGATTTATACAGCGAGTTCTTTTGAAGCCAGAGTTGGTTTCTGGGAGAAAGTTGGCCAGGAGAAGCCTGTCGAAAGAAAGTTATTTGGTGGATGACCATGCATGTGTTGAAGGACATGGACTCTTGGCCTATTGGAAGTTTTAGAGGCCAAAAAAGAGAAGATACCTTAATATAGAGAATCGGAATAAACTGATCTCTCTTGTATAGTTTAATTCATTAATGTTGCGGCTACTAGGCATATAAATGGGCTGCCAAATTTCATGTTGTTCCTATCTGGTAAATTGATAATACACTTCCATGTATTTTCCATTGATTAATAAAATATTTGATTGCCTTTCAAAAAAAAAAAAAAAAAAAAAAAAAAAAGTATAGTTTAATCCACTTATAGGAATACTGTATGTCCGGAAGGAATAAGAATATGGAATATTTTATGAGGAGTCCCTACCACTCACTGTAGCCTAATTAGGGCATTTTTTGGAGGATTAGTTGTAGAACAAGGGCTTCAATAGAAGCTATGGTTTATGCTCATGTTACCCCTTAAAAAAATATTCCTGGCTCAAATTTGTAGAAGGCAGAATTTTTTTTTTACAATACTTGGCATTTATGCTATGAAGTTGGCAAGATGTTGCCTATTTGCATACCTGGTTCTTTCTGTCCGTATATCTGCCTCACAATAGGGGTGCAATTATGCTTTTCTCAACTAGAGACTAGTTTCTTTTCTGGAGTTGTGAGAGGAGCTCTCGTTATTTTATTTGAAGAAATATTTATTTTCCTTGTTAGATAGAGTGCTTCTGGAAAAACGGCATGATTTGGTTTCACACAGCAGTGAAATTGTATTACTCAAAAAAGTTACTGCAATCATTCCCAAAATTTGTAATGAAGAGAGAGGTCACTGGCAACAAAGTCATGGGACAATGACAGTGTATAAAACACATTTATTGCTTTAATTCATGTTGCGGGAACAAAAGGTTCGAGAAGACACAATATTTGGAAAGTAGGTTGTGCAGCGGTGGTCGTAGGCAATATTAAAAGACGAAGGTCTCTTAATGCCTTCAATGAGTCAAGATCCCATTCTTTTGAATGGAAACATGATTGTTTTTCTTGAATTCTTTTCTTTTTCCCCTTTGAGAGTATCTAATGCTATGATTTATCATTTTCTTTTTGTTGTTCTCATTTCTTTTACTTATTCTACCTTTTTCAAAAATTACCAATTTTTCTTTTGGCTGGCACTCTTGATTTAACCCGGAGGAAATTGTTATTGGGTTCGTAGTTAATGGAATCAGACTATTAATTTTGTGGAGTCATTTTCAGGCATATTTCACTGAACTTGGTAGATCTATAAGAAGATTGAGGATGGAAGAAGAATAGGGATGTGACATGAGACTAAGATGGCTAAAATGACATTTTTTTGAATTGTTGGATGTAAATCCCTCGAATGCATGAGCGGAAAGAGGAAAACATGAATACTGCAAGTAGGTTGTGGGTCTTAAATTGAAACAAAAAGTGAAAATATCTAGTAATTTACATGGAATCTCAATTAACAGTCAGTTTAGTATCCTCTCCTTGTTGGAATTTGTTTTGTCCCTCTTTTTTTAGTTCACGCATATTATAAATGCAGGTTGAAGAGTTGGCTTCTCTTATTAAAGACAACCTTCCTTGTAAGCATCTCATTCTGTCCATGGAAGAGGCTCTGATAAATTTCCTTCAGGATGATACAAGGTATCTTATGTGAATATTTTCAAGTAGATATTTCAGAGAAAATATGTTACTCGCTAACATAATTTTTAATTATTGACATATAGCCCTTGTTTGAGCCCCATTTTGGGGAAAAAATGCATTTTTGAAAAGTGTATTGATGGAAAATGTGTGGTTAAAAAATAAGGAAAAGTTTTGAATTTGCATGCAATATTTTTTTATTGACTAAAGTGTTGTTGAAATTATGTCAAAACACTGTTAAAAATGCATTTTTCTCAAAGAATGGGACTCAAACAAGGGCATAATTGAATTCCAGGGACAGTAGGAAGATGCATCTGATAATGCTATTGAGCACCATAGGTTTCTAATTATCAGTTTGAGCCAAGAAAAGTCCTCTGAAGTATAAGAGGAAGAGCTACTGATTTTACTCTTATAGATTTCACTTTTCTGCTTCATAAGATCAGTGCAACTGGTTGCCCCTGGTTCTTGCCCTGGGAAAATTTTCTTTCTACTTCCGTGTCCGCTGCATTGTTTTTGTACCCATGAACATGGAAAAAATGTCTATAAACTTCTATCTATTCTAGACTTGTTTCTAAGCCAAACCTTTTGTGAGCACCTCTGCTTTGTGTCATCCTTTACTCATCAATAATGGTTATAACCAGCTAAAGTTGTGAAATTTTATTTCTTCATTGACCATAACGGAAAATTATACACTTGCATATTGCAATAGCTACTCTTTTCAATCCATATTTGAGGGTGCATGACTATTTTTGTACATTTTAGCTTCAATATATGGATACTCATCGATAAATATCATAATTACATCATATGCAGATTAGATGGGGTGCTTGAACTGGAACCGATGAACAGTTATAACCGCCTACTTGTACATCGTCTTGCTGACATCTTTGGGTATTTGTACTTCAGAAGTTATTTTTGGCTTTATCAATATCATTCCGTGCTTATGTTTTGGGACATCTTCTGAAAGTAGTAGAGTTGATCAAGCACATTATTTGTTCCCGACGTATGACAGATATAATGATTGTGTTACTATGCTAGATTTTCTCATCATTCAGTTGGTGAAGGAGATGAGCGACACTTAATTTTGGAGCGTTGCTTAGAGACATCAATGTAAGTGAAAGCCCAGTGTTCATTGCTGAAACTTTATGCATATATCTCTAGCATATATCATATAAATTTTCGTGTATTAAATGGATCCTTCCACATTTTAACTCTATATTTTTAATTAGAATGCACGTAGAATTTCACGCATTCTACGATTTACTTTTCTTAAATATCTCATTAAAAGGATGCGGTAAAATCCAATTCTCTTAAATTAAGAACAAAAAGAATTCTTTAAATTGGTGAAATCTGAATTTCTTGAGTTCTTTTGTACATTGGATTGAATTGCAGGCCTTCCATCCTAGTGAGTGATCTGCTATGGCAGTATGATGACTTGCAATCTCCTACGAATATTGAAGTATTAAGACGGAAAGAAGTTCAACCAGGTAAAGTATATTATCTGGCAAAGCTAAGTTATGTATGCCCAATTATTTTTTCTTTTGAATCTTGTGATAATGCGGATTTTTATTTATTCTTGTATGGTATCAGTTATTGGTGGTATCTTATAATTTATCATACTGCAGGAAAATGTAACTGACATAATCTCTGCTGTTCAAGTGATACAGACCTTCAAAAAATTCAGCTAACTTTCATCTGCCGAAAAACTCTTAGGAAGTTAGTGATGGTATTATGATTTTGGAGCAACCATACTAGTTTAGGTAAAGAAAACTAAATGAAAAAAGAAGAAGGGGGTGCTTAAAACATCCATGTTTGGTCATTTTCAGTAGATGAATTAAGGATTGTATGAAGATTGCTTCTCTTGGTAGAGCAGCAGATGTTTTGAATATTTCAGGAAAAAAAGGGGTGGATCCTGAATCTCTTTTGTTGTTTCCAAAGAAGTGGCTACATACACATTCGTCTAGTTACTGAATATTAGAAGCTAGGATCACTTCAGGATGCAATATAAAGGTGTACACAATGGATGAATGAGCATGCCATATTTGAGTTTATAAAAAATAAGATATTGATTAAAATCTCATACATGGATCAAAACATTTCAACCTTAAAGTGTCATCAGAATTGGACATTGTCAGCCATAGTTATTAAACATGGTCAGAGCATTGACCTTTCTGATAAAGTCAAGAAGTAACTGGTTGAACTGCATAGTGGCATAAACAGTTGAATTTGTAAAAAAAAATTTAGAAATTAATAAATGTGCCAAACGCAAGGTAAAACAACAATAGAAATACTAAAGTAGTAATCTATCATTTAACAATAGTAAAAAATGTAAAATTCCACCATGACTGTGGATGTTTTACCTTAGCTAAAAATATATAAAAGAAAAAGTGGTAAGATGATTTATAATATAATCATTTTGCCTATATATAAATCATCAATGAAGCAATAATATCATTTTTGTGAAATGCCTTTTTACTTAAATGCGTTATAGACATTTAGCCCTCGTTTGAGCCCCATTTTTTGGGGGAAAAAAATGCATTCTTGAATTGTGTTTTTACCACAGTTCAATCACGCATTCTTCAAGAAAATAATATTACACGTAAATTCAAAACTTTTCCTTATTTTTTAACCACACATTTCCTATCAATACACTATTCAAAAATGCATTTTTTTTGACAAAAATGGGGCTCAAACTAGTGTTGGAACAAATCAGTATCACATCTAGAAATAACATCTGGTTACCTAATAAATGAAATGGGAACAATTATGATTGGCAAAAATGTGTATCCTGGTGGTTAAGTGCCTCTGCATTCCTTGGTCTGCAATTTGAATCTTTTTGAGGCCTTTGATTCTTATATTTAGTGAACAGAATGAACCTTCCTGGATTTGGGCTCCCTAGAAATGGACGGGTCAACGGATTTAACCAAATCAGCCTGTCCTAGTGGTTATTTTTCTGGGTTTTTAGTCTGACAGCCGACATTAGACCAAGTGCAATAACCATTATTGAACAGCAGCTTATTTTGCAATTTGTTGTGAAATCTTCTACATATGGTTGATTGTTTTTGTTTTGAAAATGAATCAATGGAGAGAAGATTCTTATTAGTACTTTTCTATAAAATCTGCTGACTTCAGTAGTAGTAAGATTTTGTATTCATGAAGAATTCTCCTTCGTCTGAGACGTTCATAGCATGTAAAACCATGAGATTTCTATCTTCTGTGATCTGAAGAAGTTGAAAATCTGGTCACAAAATATACTTGCGTTTAACAATGTTGAAATCTAATAAATTAACATGGACAGTTTGATTATTGTCTTGATTTATATGAAATGCTATATGAATCAGCGGATGTTGTTAAGTTGGCCTTGTATCTTAAATGAATAGAAAGTGTAATTATATGTAATGATTAAACTGCAATGAAGCTTGCGTGTTTTCCTAAAAAATGCTGAACTAAGCACACAGCGATTCATGCAGGCGAAAGTCAAAACTCGGGGACTGAATCCTCACATGAGAGGAAAACAACTCCTTTTACTTCCAGGGAAAGGATCTTTTTGGCAGATGAACGTGAGACAGGACTGGTAAAACAGAGGCCACAATATGATCCTAAGGTTGCTCGACGTATGATAACGCATGCTCTTGGCCAAAGAATCAAGTCAACTAATCATGAACCTAGCTTAAGGGATAATAAAAAGTATGGACACCCCGTGAAAGATGTGAGAGTCCAACCAGAGGAGGAAGGGGCCATCAAATCAAGCAGTCACACAGAGACAGAAGTCCCATCTACCACATATCCAGAGCCTGCTAGGTTCAATGTACACGAGCAAAGGAGTCAAAGAACATCTTTTAAGACAAATTTATCTGCTGACGAAAGAGAGGAGAGTAACATTCAAAATGACTCTTCAGGAAAAGAGCTAATGGGAGCTGCAAAGAGATTGTTTGCTAATGCCTTGGGGATTCATCAAAGAGAGGGTAACCCATCTAAGTGCAATGAAACAAGGCAAACCAAACTAACTTGAGGATGATTTAATGGGATTTCAACAAGTAACTGCCATCTGATTGTTGAGTGACTCTACGGTGGTGGCGTTCTGTCTATAAGATTTTTCGACGGAAATAAGCTTCGGTAGCTTTTTGTCCATTCTGAGTTACCAAATTGGAATATTCCTGTGGAACTACATTAAGGATGGATTTGGCAGACCAGTGGCTTCTCCACTTATTGATCCTGGGACTAACAGTGATGGTATTTGTAAGTCGAATCTTAGGTCATTTTAAGTCTTGTATGATAATGTCTCTCTGCCCACCCTCCAATTTATCACACTGCATCTTTTCTTCCTTCTGCGGTAGTTTTAGAGCACGAGTTCAGTGTCAGGTCTACTACACATGCTCTTTTGCCTTGTGTTACTATTTGTTTTAGGAGCGATCTTTCAAACAAATGTATGTGGTAAATTCTGCAATATGTATAATATTTGTTTTAAAGTGGCCTTTTCAATGTATATGATAATTCTATGTAATTGTATGTTGTGAACATAGAAGTTAAACTCGATGGTTTCATTTGGTTGGGAATTTCATTGGTGATTGACATCTATTGATTATTCACTATACAATCTTATAAAAACCCTAGTACAAATCAACAATTGATGATTCAGTATACAATCTTATAAAACCCTAGTACAAATCAACAACAAGACATCAAACCACTAAGAATTTACTATATATATGCCAATATTAAGATATTACAAGCTTGCAAGGTGATTGATGATTATCTGGACATTTTATTTAGGAAAAAATACAAAGAATATCTTTTGAGTCTTTCAGCTATCAACTTCTCTATGAAGAATAGCCTATTTGACACACAATAATTGCAACACTGACGATGGTAGAATTTAATAAACTGGGGCAATAATACTACATGTACATAAGGAGTTGCATAATTGAATATATTGCATCATTTCTCAACATTATTTGAATATTTCTGCCTAAAACAATTGATACAGTTACTATAGCCCTGAAACGGTTAATCTTCCGGTACAAGATAAGCTTCCATACAAGATGCCTTTTAACATTTCATGGGGGCTCCTCCTAAGGCGCATAACCACAGAATTTTCACAACACGCTCAGGAGATCTGACAGAAATCTGAGTGCTGTTCAGCAACTTTTACTCGTAATATACAAATTTTAAGGCTACCCGTGGCTTTGGTTTGTGGAAGGTGCCTCTTTTTTAGCTGAAGCACGAACCGTTGACTCTGTAGCTACTAACTTTTCCCTCAGTATGGCACTATATTCATACAACTTTTGGAGGTTATTCTGAAGATCAACCATACTTATTTCATTGGAAGCCTTCAGTTCTGCAGAAGTAAAAAAACAACGGCAAATTTGAAGTAAGAGGTCTCGATAACAGAAGAATCATTAAGAAAGATTGTACAGGATATAATATTTTTATATCCAAAACAGATATGCTCTCCATTTCTTATTAAATCTGTTTCTTCTCATTCAGGTGGGAATTTGCTCAGTATTTGATCTTAACATGAGAAGCTGCTAGATAGAAGATGTACATGCAATCTTCCACTCCCTGCTCCACCTCCAGGTGGATTCCAGTCTCCGCGTGGATAAAATAAAGAAATGCAGGTATAACTGGTGAAAGTTGAGAGCCTTGACTAGATCAATCAATCAATCACAATCAGGGAAACATGAATTGGGAAAATAGTCAAATTGAAACAAGAAATTTCTTATTAGTAGCATAGTGAAAATTCCAGTTCTGCAAAATCAATTTGATAGAATTTGCTTGTTTTCTTATTGTAGTCGGTGTTCTAAAAGGTGGCACCAAGTGTGATGCTCGGCCAAAACGCCAAGCTAAGTGGCTTGGTGCCTTATTTGGCGGTCAACGACAATCGTTGACTGCTAAGGCGCAACTAGGTGCAATTATGTGCGCACTATCATCCTATTTTAATTTTTTTTAATATATATAACATATTTTTTAAAATTGTGTTAAAAAATTATCAATGGCTAATTTTTTTCATTTTGCCCTAATTTAAAACAACACTTGTATTGGAAGATACGGAGGATGAATTAGATGAAGAGGATATTGAATTGGAGTTCGATAAAGAGTTAGATAAGATTTAAGTTCCTATACTATTTATTTACTATTTTGTATTTAAATTTGAAACTTATCTTTTTATTGGAAATTTTGAAAAAATGTATACGTTCCTATAAAACTATTTTAAATATTTAGTAAGTATTATTTTTAATAATTAAATAAATTTTTGATTTATTAAAAATTAAAATAATATTAAAATAAGAAAAAGCCCTTTTACGTTTTTTTACGCTTAAGCCTTGCGTTGCCCATAGTTTGGCTTCAACGCATCGCCACGCATTACGCATTTTAGAACACTGATTGTAGTACACAAGTAGTTTGCATGAGATAGTAACGTGCCACGAGGGATGAATGTCCAAGCTTTTAGATCCTAATACAACTGATCCTAGAGCCCAGAATCAAGTGATATCTGTTTCTGACTAACAAAGAAGGCAGCATGACTAACTCTCTCTACTACTCTCCAAATCACTCCCCTTTTCTTTCCCCATTCTCCTCCACTGTAATTTCATCTCAAATGGTGAATGATGACTGAGATACTAATTAACATTTTTGCAAAGAGATGCTCTAAGCCCATACACGCACCACACATGATGTTGTAGATAATACTCAGCAAAGAAGAAGATGGATAGAGATGAACAATCAATTTATCAAAATTTTCCTCACCCTCCAGGCAGCACAACTCCCTTACCATTGCATAGCTTCTTCAATTATCATGCTGTGCTCCACGTTAGTGCCATCTTCCATTAAGTTTCATTCACTTGGCTGGAGCTAAATTCAGTTTTTCATTTTCCTTCTAATCTTAGAAGCAGTCTACCTTTTCATGATTATTATGATATATGTCGCATGAGAGCAGTTCAGCGTATTTAATAATCGTAACCAGCTACACTTCTCATACTTTTAAAGTACTGAAAACAATTACCTTGCATTATCGAAGAGCCAAAAAGCAATTTGAAAACTCTTCGGTTGGCATTTACCCATACTGATCATTTCTTCACTTGGTGGAAATAATATTGTTGGAAACTTTTTTTCCTTTTTCTTTTTGATAGGAATATTGTTGGAGACATAAAATGTATGATTTAATCTCCAATCACTTAGGGTGTGTTTGATTACATTTATTTTCCATGGAAAATATCAGTTTTCCACCCAAATTCTTATTTCGGGTGTTTGATTGCAATTTTTTCCATGGAAAACATTCTCCAACTTTTGAAAATATGCATAATTTCCTTGTTTTTAAGGAAAATATTTTTCTTGGGTGGAGGTGGTTTTTGTTTTCCTCAAAAGACGGAAAACATTTTCTTTTCATGTGATATTTCCATGCCAATCAAACACACTCTTAATGAACCAAAGAAAACACGAAAGATGTTGGGGGGGGGGGGGTAACTACTAAAAAGCAAACATACATCTTGCTTCAAATTTTGAAACAATAGAAATGGAAAGCCTGAACTTTTGAATCTAGCACTAACCTAATGGTGGAGGTGGTGGAAGGTTAACATCAGACATTGGAGATGCTTGGTTCCAGAAATCCACTTGGCATGAACCAACAGTAAGTTCATCTTTTCCATCTTCTAAGTTTGCAAGGACTAGATCTTCCTGAATTTAGAGATCACAAAAATATAAGCAGATCCAATAGTTTCATAATTTAAAACATTACCTCACACAGAAAAAGACAAAATTTTAAAACATTGTAAATCATATTAAACTATCTTCAACTTGGGCCCTAGTAGCAATTCACCAGCTAAAATTGTTGCGCCACTTTAAACCCCAGGCAAATGGTCCAGGATGTTCAAGGGAAATTCACCAAGTGCTACACTATTGCACTTAATTAAAATGATATAGATGTCCATAATACACAGAATTCTAAATATGAATCTTCCTCACTTCCCTGCCCCCTTGGTTGTGTTCCAAGCTACTTTCACACCGCTAAGAGATTTGGGGGATGCTCATTGTTCAAAGCCAACCTAATCTAGTCTTTCGTTGAAAATCTCTTTGACAAAGTGTAAGTTTCGCAGCACCGAGATACATGACAATCCTAGTACTATATAATGAGAGAATCTTTGCACCAAACCCGTTGATGTATAGATATGGGTGCGCTTCAATAGAAATTGATGCGCTTCCAACTAATTATCTCTTGAGCCTTAAATGAACTACATTCGATTCCTTTGTAGAACCTACTTCCACCCTTAAAGCCTAAATTCAGTGGTTTTTGAGCGTATTGGTTCCTATCAGCTGCAACGATATCCCTATTTTGGGTCGTACTTACAATGAGATGAAGAAGAAAACACAGAAAATTCACTTTGAGTCCGGGGAAATCTATTAATGCACTTTTCAGTGATGCATAAATGAAGTATTTCTGGCCCGTTATAGAGAAGTTATATAATAGATATTTGTAATCAATCATTTATCACTAACAAGGTTGCCTTCTTTAATTGAATGTCTTAGTAACAAAATCACAATAGAAAAAGTTACTTTTCGGGCAAGTAGCATTAGAGACATCTTTATTTGAGGAGCTTTTGCCATCCGACTCCTCATATAAAGATAGTAGGATCATCGGCTCATTCATGGAATTCGAGAAGAAAACAAAGATAGAATGGTTCGAGTTCTGGGAAAATCCTAATGAATTTTTCTTTGCAAGAGACAACTCTGAATTTAGTGATGTTTACGTCAACCTTGCTGAGTTTGCTTTTATAAGAGTCAGATGCATAGAGTTACAAAGTCAAGCTTTACAGGATGTAGTGATGTTGTGACACTTTGGTTAGGTTAGGCTCGATTGACTTTGTTCTACTAAAGGATCGGGGCGAGCAAAATTCAGTAGAGGCCTTCCTTCACAGTTCGAACTCCCTGTGAATGACAACTCTTAGCAATATCCTTTTTTATATACTCACAGTTCAATTCCAAGTCTTAGTGCAATTGATAAGATAAAGAACTGCTTACCATTATGAATGCTACAGGTGTAGGATCCTAGTTAATGAAATCACTTGATTGAAAGGAAAGGAAGAGGAAAAAATCGAGGATAGATGGAATAAGGTGCAGACCACCACATATTCCCATTCTCCACCTCAGCTTATTCTGGCAAGACCTTCCCCCCATTCCCCAGCTCCATAGTAGTCAAGATCGGACTGCACGACTTGTGCATGCCTATTTCACATTAGGAGGTATTGGAGCGGGTTTTTATCCCTTTCATCACTAGATCTATTGGGTAGCCATCCTGCCTGCCTGAATTCATTCTAACCGCTTGATTTCATTAACCCCTTCATGTCATTTAGTTGTCTAGGAGCCAGATCCATTGTTACTAATAAACAACGAAGAGCAAAATTTTTCATACAATGACTACTATCCACAAAGGTGCATTCCCACATGTGGCAGACAGACCGACCACTTCACCAAACAAAGAACAAAAATTGAACCTTATCCCAATAAATTAGGGGCTAACTATATGAATATTTTTTTGCCATGTTTAGTCCATGATGCAGCGCTGAAGGCTTTAACTTATTTTGATAATCAAGATCACTTGAAGCATGAGGGCAGACCATGAGGAGCCGTTGGATGCAGCAACTCTTTACTGCTTTTAATTAGCTGCTTGTTTTATGATTTAAAAACCTTTGTCATTTAATTATCACAATAGCTTAGCCATAGATTAATTTTGTCGTTCAGCTAATAGGGATTTCAGCACGCTCCTGACTTTATATTCATCTGTTTCAAACATTACGGGTTGTTATGATAAAACTTTGATGGCTTGGAGATCTTCAGCCTTCTATTAATTCATACCCGGTATTTGTTGAATCAACAGGTGCGTAATCACCTTGGTTTTTATTGTGCTTTTTTTTCACTGGACCATTTGTGGTATCAGAGCCTAATGGTACAGAGAAATAATGATAAAGCACCCTAAGAACATAGCATGATTACACACCCACTGATTTAGCGAATATCGGGTACAAATCCATAGAATCTGGAAATCTGTTTTATCAAGACAATCATCAACCCTCAATATTGAATGCAACCATCCACTTCATATTACATTAAGTTCCTATCTCCAATAATATCCCATGTTTGTTCGAAACTTCATGCTTAAAATCTTGTTTTCACTCAGGAAGTTCCACAATCTTTGTTTATTCCTTGCATTTAGACATTGCAGGTCTGATCCAATAAATAAATAATAATGTGATTTTTTAATTTTTGCAGTCTAACATAACAATTTTCTTGAATATTTCTATATATTAGTAAGCAAATATGAAGACCCCAAGGCTACGAAAGACATAATAATCAAATCTCATAAATGGCGGATGTACAATTGAACAAATACATAATTCATATTCTAAATGTTGTCCTTAAGGGAGACATACAGTTGAGTGCTCTATTCAAAAAGTTCATATCGTAGCATACCATACAATTTAGAGAATGAATCATCTTGGCCATAGAAATTAAGACTTCTAGATAGAAAAATTAGTGAATCCGGAATGCAGTAGATAAAACTAAGAGAAATTATGTAGCATAAGAACAGTCAAGTAAATTGATTTTTACAGGATTGACAAAACAATCCATCTTAATCCTGCATGTAGTGGACATTGGTTTATGATCTGATGTCACCAATAAGTGAATTCTAATGTGACCACACAGTGATTTAGGGATTCAGCTTGTGAAAACTTAGAACATATATCCACGTCTCTAAAGAGAGGAAAATGTCCTTAAAAAGAATTTAAGTACTGAAGTGTCAAGTAATTCAATGAAAAAAGCACTAATTATTATATCAGTGATTGGATCATACTTAAAATTTACTATATTTGCAATTTGATAATAAGTTAATTATCCCACATAGAGAAAAAATGTTACACGAGGATAAGAGGGTAAAAAGACAACCATTTCAAACTTGCTCAAATTATGGATATATCGGTGGGACTGTACTATTGGGCTCGTTATTTTGGAGCCTAGCACACTTGATTATTAAACGGACTCATGAGCTTCATTATTTAAGCTAGTAATCTAAGAGAGTAACATTAAGTCTTTAGTGGTCTGACCCACTACTGATATACTGATTCCAGATGAATTATTCATTGTGTTAGGGCTACGCGTGGGAATTTGAATCCGACAGGGACTCGGAAGACTAGTGTTTTTGAGAGACTGAATCCTATTTAGTCTAGGGTTAGAAGCCCACCAAAAGACAATTCTAGACCCCTTGATTGACCCTCTCTGTCTCTCTTGAAAAAAACATGCACTACACTGATAGTGCATTTGCTCCTGCTGTGTCCAAGATCCAGTCCAAGCTCGATTTTGAAGGTGCTCATCCACCATAATTCTCCTAGGAGAATATCTGAGAAGATCTAGTGGTTGGAGGCTTGCGGTGAGACAATATAAACAAAATGGATCAGATCTACATAGTTTGAAATCTATGCTTCTGTCTTGTTCAGAAGACTCAACAGTTTTAATTCCAAAATTTACCACCCCATTCCTTTTCTTTCCTTGCGTGTATACCCTAACTCTTCTCCCTTCTCTACTACCCATTTTACCTCTTGCATGCAAGTTCTGTTAACTTTCCTCCTACACATCACATTTATTATGCCTAAGGATTTTCTAGCAAGTGTCTCTATATTCTAAGTCTAACTTCTTTATCTGCCTTGTCCATTATAGCATGATAACCTGGCTTTCTTGACACCAAAACAGGCTTCAAAGTGCCACATCGCTTAGAGTACTCCCTAATTATCTCCTGCCCACTTTTCATTGCCCCTCACATTGCCAGTATCCAGTTTGGAACATCGTTAAAAATGAAAAAAACTTTTCACCCAGCAAAGGCGCTAAGAAATACAACATTGTGAATAATGTATGCAAAATTGCAAGTGACCCAAAACATAGAACATTCTCATTGGAAAAAAGAAACAAAAATAATGGCGACTCACTGATTCATTTCTTGAAAATGATGTCCTCTGTTCCAGGTTCGGAGCAGGATGAGTTGAGCAACATTTAACCTCTTGAGTACGAACAGTGTCTGGCACAGCAATCTGAAGTGATCCATTTATAAATTTAAGGACACAATAAATTTCAGAACAGCAATACAAGAATGATATCATGACCATATACTAGTATAGCTCAGCCAAATTATTCACCACCTTCTCACTGGATAAACGGACCTTTCTGCTAAAACTAATATCATCCATCCTGTTTTGCAGTCTTCGTTTATGGGAAGATCCACCTGGGTGGGATGATTCCATCCCAACACAAGGGAAACATGCCACATTCGTCTTAGTACCGTTACTATCGTCTTTGTCATCCAATGAGCTAGATCCCCATGTATACATCACGTATTTTCTCAACTACACGAAGATATAATCAAACTACAGTTACGATGACAGGTTCAATCAGAACGAAAATAAGGATATAGCAGTAAAGTGAAATCAATCCCTTAATTTCTTTACCATTTTTGAGGAATATAAGAAAACTCACTTTCTCCCAACGTTCTTGAGCTTTGCGACGATTTCTGATCTTTCGCATTACACTATCCTCATTGCGAAGCCTCTTGATTCTATACTCACACTATAAATGAAAACCATCAGGTGAATCAGAGTAGTAGTACACAACTCGGTATGCTATAACATTTAGACTTATATTTTATTCACTAGATTGAATAGTATATCCTCCAGAAGATGGATCACTATTCCCAGATACTTTCAACTCCATTTCGGATTGAAAATGTTTAACATCTTAATTTAATTATTTTTGAGAGATGACCCTTCTTAGTTTCATTAGATTTTGACTCCCTGAAGAAAATTTTCGCAGCTCGAATTAGGTTTAATTCTCAAGATTTGAAAGCCAAATACATATTGGAGCAAGCCACGTGAACATCGAATTCAAATAAACCAATACGTTGTCATCAAATTGAAATAAACCAACAGACAAAACCAAATCATATTCCAATGGGTTCAGCCAGTTGAGTTGTTTGCCAATTTTTCTTTTAGTTCTCTACAAGGACATGCATAACTCCCATTATCTTTTACCAGCCACCTATTTTAACAATAGAGATACCCTTTCTTCAAAAATGTTATACCAAAAGAATCAAATGTTAGAAAAAGTGCCATGTGGCCTCTTGTTTAGGGCTGGGCAAATCTCCCGAACCGAACCGATCCGAACCCGACGGTTCTTGTCAAATTAAATATCCGAACGGATATCTGAATTGAGAACTGACGGGTATGGTTCGGTTCTCGATTCTAGACCAAGAACCGAAGAACCGAATCTTTCTAATTTTTTTTTATATTGAGTAAATCAAATTATTTTAATTTTAATTTTTTCTAAACAAATTAACAAATTAATGATTTCTAAATCCAAATTTTTGGTCCAATAATTTGTTTCATTTCTAATTTTTTAATTTTTGGCCCAATTACCCATTTTATTGTTTCATTTCTTAGGCAAACAAGATCAAATCCACTAAATAACCATAAACACCTACAATAAAGTGCATAACATTGTCTCGACTCTCGCACTCACTCTCGCAGCCTCGCTAATATTCCAAAACCTATACAATCGTCGGCCGACACTTTGACCTCCGATCGAAGCCGTGACTTTCGCCGACTGAAGCTTTGATCATAGCGATCATTTGAACAAGGTAGTTTACTAATCTCTGACATTCCAAAACCATTGAATGTATCATTAGTCATATTTATATAACGTTGTTATAAATGTTAAAAAATTTAATTATAATACAGAACCGAACCGAACCGAATGGAACCGAACCCGAACGGTTCCATAATTATATTTGGACCCGACGGTTCCATTTACTAGATACCCGAAAAGTTTAATTCGGTTAGGTTCTAAAGAGAACCGAACCGAACTGACCCGCGCCCACCCCTACTCTTGTTTTTAATTTTTTCACGGACAATAAACCTTTTTTTTTCCTTCGATTGTATAACAATTTGGAGAACATTGATGCCTTTATTGGGTTTCAATTCGTCTGAATCTCAACTTTTTTGAAGTTGTATTGTGTACCAAAAACACAATTTTTTTTTTCCGTCTACGATTAATGCATTTTCCACGAGATATATTAAAATACACACATATACCAAATCAAAGCCAACACCTATTGCATTCTCCAAGGCTAGAAAAGAAAGAGTGAAAAGAGAATAAGAATATTAACAAAAAATTCAAAGGTTGCAATTTCTACTTGTATCCTCTTTGGCTTGACCCGACAATAGAATAGTGCTTATTTCTCTTTAGAATTCTAAGTTAACAGTTATTAGGAGTGATTAGACCCTCTTCAAATCAAAGATCTAAAGAAATTATAAGTACTTTGTGTCCTTTGTGCTTAGCCTTTTTTTAAAGTAAAATCTACGTGCACTTACGTGTGGGGCTTGGCATTGACCTCTACCTTGTCTAATGCTCTAATGCTCGGACTCTTCGAAATAGTAGGAGTACTCGTGTCGGATACGATACGACATGGGTATAGGATATGTGTCGGATCGTCCAAATTTCAATTGGACACTTCACCGTTTTTACTTCTTTCTTCTTCTTCTTTTCCTTTTCTTTCCCATTTTTGCTCTCTATTTAATGCCACCTTCGAGAAGGTAGAGAGGGCAATGGTGCTAAGTTTTCCCTTCTTCTTCTTCCTTTTTTCTTTTCCTTATCTTCTTTTTTTCCTTTTTTCCCTCTCTGTATAGTATTTTGTTTGTATAAAATAAAAATGAGTTCCATATAGTGCTACCTAGTGCTCCACTAAGTCCAAATTACATTCAAGTCCCTCATTTTTAATTTTATATAACATTTAGTAATTAACTTCCTATAATTAAAAACTAAACCCCAAAATTCTATTTTATTCGTTTTAACCACTTATTCAATATCATTTCCTTTTTTGCGAACAATTGATTTTTGTTTCTTTAAAATGACATCTTGGGTTAATAAAAAAATTAAAGCTTAAAAAACGTACTCATGTACCCATGTCCGAAATTTGGACTTTTTTTAGCAATATTCCCGTATCCTACATTTTAAAAAATAAAAGATCAAATACTTAGATACGTACTCGTACCCGAGTCCAAGCAACATCGGTCTAATGTTCATTGATAGAATATTATTAGTGCCGCAGGGGGGAGGCGAGACCAGTTCCATTCTCTACGTAATAATTAGAGGGTGTTTACATATTCTTGTGTGCACGTGACATGTATTCAAGTAAAAGTGTGGGTAGATCTACATGATAAAAGAAGATAACTTTCCCATAAATGATCAAGTGAATAGCACACTGTGATTACACAAGAATTAGCGTAAAAGTAAATCATAGTAATCATACAGCGTCATTAGAATATTCGAACTAAAAGGACAACCATAGGATGTAGCATTCGAGTAGTCTTCAACTCGATTCAACTCAAGAATTCATCCCCTACTGGCTTGGAATCAACTGCACCAATCCTCATATTCCACTCCACTTGTCCTAATAATAGTTTTCACTTTTCCCAACAGCTGTATCTTCAGCCTTCTCTGACTATTCTTAAACTATCTCAATTTATTCTCCGATATTTTGTCTTCAATAGGTGCTACTTCAACCAATTCAATGATACGTTCATTTCATACTTAAGTCATTTATTGGTTTGCCCCTCTCAGGTAACATTCTCATCTCAAGATACACTCAAATTACAAAAATGTTGTTTCTTAGCTGCCTAAAGTTTAGCCTCATAAGATATCGTTGGTCTTAATGCATTTCCATAGAGTTTTCCCATTTTGGTAAGATATCGAAGGCTCTGGTTAGATAAAAAATATACTAATTAAAAAAGGGGGGNAAAAAAAAAAAAAAGGGGGGGGGGGGGGGAGAAAAAGTGCATTCGTCAAAAGGAGAATGTACCCTTTAAGCACAAAAATATAAAAGAAAAATGAAGAAGGAAAAAGAAATCCTTCGAATTACTTACTAGTGGAAGCAAAAAAAGGTGCTTAAAATTTTGCCTTACCCCAACTATCAAGAAATTGCATTTTCCCTTCAAAAGTTCTTCCATTTTGGCTTGCACTCCTATACTTTTGGGATGTAATTATTTATTTATTTTTTTTGACTATTTGTATTGTGTTTTAAGGATTGTTGCTCGATCAATTTCCTATTGAGCCTTTTTTCTGTAGGGTGCGGTGTTGTGTTGAGTTATCTTTACGGCCGGTTGGGTTATAGCGTTTGAGCTATAGGTTCTCACTTGGTTGGCAAGAGGGCCATAACAACTAAGTTAGACAAGGCTGGATATTCAGTTGGGTGGCTTTATAAGTGGCCAGTTTAATTTTTATTTTTATTTTTTTAAGCAAAACATCAACACATCCTTAATGAGTTTTCAGGCTCCACCAAGGAAGGCTAATGGGGTTTAGGACACCCCGACTGTGTATAAAATCAAACTCACGAGAAAAAAAGGGAGGGAGGCATGAACCAAACCTCCCAAATGTAGAACAATGCACACATACAAGAATGAAATAAATGGGAATACATTACTTCCTAAATAAAGAGAGCAAGTGAAAAGTAAGCTAATGTCCTCTAATACTAGGAAGTCCATATTGGTCAATTTGTACAAAGGCAAGAGTTGTCCTTGTCTACAAACATTGTTATTACCAAAGCATCACTTTGGTTTAGTCCATATTGGTCAATCTGTACAAGGGCAAGAGTTGTCCTTGTCTACATTGTTATTACCAAAGCATCACTTTGGTTTTGCATTATTCCGTAGGAGTCCTCTGTAGAAAACCCAAACCATTCAGGACTTCATGCAGAGGAGAAATCGGACTTGTGTCGTTTGACCTCATAATTTTACCAAAATCGAGCCCCCTAGCTTGTTTTTTGCGTCCCCTCCTTGAACTTCGGTACATTGATTTCCTCCTATTAACACTCTTATTTCAGCCCTTTGTTGAGGATTTTTTATAGGCCATTCGGAAGGATTGGTTGTAGGTTATCTCATGGCTGAATAGGGAGATCTTGATATATTTCTCCTGGCTTTGATACAAACTCACGTAGTTGCCTCATCTGATGAAGGCTTTGACTTGTCCCTTCGGGTCCTCACAATCTCATTGTTGTGTCCGGTTGACCTGTGATACCAACAATATCTGTTTTGGTGGGATTGGGGCATGATTTTCGTCAAAGGAAGAGGTCTATAGGAGACTTCTTTAACCCCAACTTGCATGAAGACCTCTTCTAGTGAGGCATTCAATGAATGGTATTGATGACACCTTTTCGGATAAGGAGAACGTCATTCCATCTCCTTTTTATCTTTCCTCGGATTTGGGGTGGGTCTTTTCTTTGTCCAATTATCTTTGGAGCGAGTTGTATGATGGGGCTCAAACTGTCCTTCCTGATCTAACGTAGCTTCCTCTGCACCAAAATGTTTTTCAACATGATTAAGGAACTCATGATAACTCTTGGGTCCATCATCGTGAATAGACTACTGAAACCTTTTTTTGGCAGTAAGCTAGATAACATAGCCATGAGGGCGGCATCATGCGAAATCCTTTCTACTTCGATGGACTGTTTATTGAACCTGCTAAGGTAGCTTTTTAGAGATTCACGCTTTCCTTGCTTAACGTTGACCAGATGTTCCTTGGGGGTGGTTTCGGCTTTAGAACCTATGAACTGAGTTAAAAAAGCTGCAGCTAGGTCCATCCAAGTCTTGATAGACAGCCTTCTGAACTATTTTTGTGCCTTGTCCCCTAGAATTAAAAAGGAAAGCTCTGCACATAACTAAATTTGCTATAGTCACGTCGTCTACAGTGTTTGGATCACCACATGATGTGAGCTACAGTGTTTTCCTTGTTAGGTATGCCAAATCATTCAACTCAAGCAGTCGTCTTATTGGATGGCAAGGTCGGCTCTTTGCAACTCATCATGATATTCCTTGCGATTACAACCACTCCATCATAGCTGATCTCTGATTGTTTGGTCAAGAGGTGCTCATGCTAGTCATGCCACGTGTCATTAGGGAATTGGGCAAAACAGAGGTACTGACATCACCCTAGTCAAATCAATAATCATGATGTTCCTAGACTTCGGCAGAGTACACTGAGCTAATAGTGATTGGGCCAAGCTATTCCTTCAATGTGATGGTAATTCCTGTTTTGAGGACTTCCATTATGGATGAGGTCTTCAGTTAATATTGTAATTATGGTTAAGTATCAACAACTACCATCTAGTGTCTCCCTCCAAATCACTCAATATGGTTGAAATTATTTTTAACGAATTTTTTGACAAACAATAATATATTATTCCAAACATTAGTGACTTCTTTTACGAACGATGCCACAGACGAACATGAACAAGACCGTATCCTCTTTCCAAACATTAACGAATAACTAAAGAAAGAAATACAATAGTATAAACCAAATTTATTTCTTAATTGTATTTCCTAAAATAAAAGTGTAATCTTGGCATGTTTCCATTCTCATCACATGCTTTATCATGTACTCTTAAAAGCCATACGATAGAGCTTGAGCATTATGTATATCTAGACCTCCGTAGATACACAGTGAATAAGCAACCATGGCCTCACCATCTGAAGATGGAGATGCAGATATCTTGTCCACATATGATGGCTTTACCCCTAAAAATATCCAAGAGTATTTTAAATGAGTTAGGAAAGCATTATTGGGGTTGATTCATGAATACAATTTTGATTGTACTAGTTGTTATGGTTCATGTAATACCACTGAGTGTAAGAGTAAGTCATGTGTCATAAACCAAATAAAGTAATAGCTAAAAAAACTATTCCATGAGATATAAATGGATAAGTTGGCAGTGCAAACAAAATAACACAGAACATTGTAGACAATCAATTCTAACTAGAAAAAGGACAAACAAACGGAACAAGAAAATATAAGATTAGAATCTATACGTACTTGCACCAAGATGTAGAAAAAAATACCAATACAACTGCAATAAAGTCCCCCCACATCAGCAAGGAAGCTAACTGCATTGTTGGTAAGAAAAACGTAACATCAAATTACTGACTGCAGAAAATATAACTCAAATGCAATGAAATTGGAAATCAACACCAGAATGAACAACTTATAAAGTCTTCAGCCAAATAGGTCAGCAAGTTTCAAATTTCCAAAGATGAAATATTCCAAGTGAAGCCCCGTTCTCTCATGATAAAGAAGACTTGAAAACAAAAGAAACAATAGTTAGAATGCATTCAGAATTTCCATCGATTCAAATCAGAATGGCCTTTCCTTGAAATTGATGAGGTAGGTGCATATTACTCCATGTTTAGCTGTTAAGACAGTGATGCAGCATTCAGAATGAGGAAGATAGAAAGAAGATTTATACAAGGCAGACGCTCTTATGCCCTTATGAGAGTTAGAATGCATTCAGAATATCCATCGAGTCAAATCAGAATGCCTTTCCTTGAAGTTGATGAGGGAGGTGCATATTACTCCATGTTTAGCTGATAAGACAATGATGCCACATTCAGAATGAGGAAGATAGAAAGAAGATTTATGGATGGCAGAAGCTCTTATGCCCTTATTAGAGTAAGAGGTCTGAAAGATGGCTATATTCCCACATTTATGGAGTTTCCGCATGGAAAGGAAAGAATCAAGCTTGGTCTCCCCCCTTGGACAAAAATCTCCATTCCAGCATAGAGGAAAGTTGTAAAGTAAGGAGACTCCTATGGTTGTTGGACCCATGATATTAGAGAAGAAAAGGGTGGCAGCTTTAGATAATATGAAGCCAGAAGGTTGGAAATTTCAAAACATACAGCTCAGAAGGAGCACGTATTTTTCAGAATCAGTTTTCAGAACTAGAGTTGATTAAAGAACATGAAGAGCATGAAAGATCGAGAATTCGGACCATCCATTTTCTTAGTTTTAACTATTGTAAGAACAAGAAACAAACCAATTAAAACTATTTTGGAAAATGATCTTCAATTTGACAAAAAGAAAAGTTTCATTAGTGGCTTTCATGAATCTATGGTCTCAATGGTTGTAGTCTCCAAAATATATTTCAGTAGATGTTACGTTTTGGCGTCTGGGGGAGATTTCAACATAGCAAGCATGGGAAGGAAAAGTTTCACGGTGGTGGATCAGTCACTTTAAAATAACCAAGCAGAAGTTTGATAAATTTGTCATAGAAGATGAATTGATAGACCTGCCAACAAAGAATGCAAACTTCGCACTATTAAACTTTGCGAAAAATGTAGTTTCTTCTTGACTAGATAGGTTCTCAATCACTATAAGTGGAGTGGTATTTTTCAGGGTGTTCCCATGAGGTCTCGTTGGTAGTTCCAGATCATTGTCGGGTGGAAACTAGTTATTCAACTTTAAATCAGTGTCAACTCCACTTTGGTGGGAAACAAGTGGCCTGATCATCAGCTATGCAATTTCATAGTGGTGTGTGGATGGCATTCTTCGTGTTTGGCAGGGGTACAAATTTATGTAGGCGCTTTGAAATTGCAAAGGAAAAATTAATGAGAAAGTCAATGTTTTTGAGAAGGATTGAGAAATTGGAGCTAAAACACGTTTTACTTTAGTCATGGCTTTAAAGAAGAAATAGGGGTGGGCGTCGGATGCTTCGGTCAGGATATTTGGAAGAACCATCCATTAAATTTCGGGTACTATGTAAATGGAATCGTTCGATTTCAAGTAATTTTTGGACCCAACAGGGAACCAACAGTTTTGGTTTGGTTCCAGCTAAATTGTCCATCCCTGCTAAGTGGTTCAGTTTGGATATTTCAATAATTGGAACCATCCATTAAATTCCTGGTATTAAGTAAATAGAATCATTCGGTTCCAATGTAATTTTTGGAACCACATTTGGAACTGGAACTGAACCAGAATGGTGGTTCAGGTTCGGTTACCCCTAAGAAGAAATATGCTCTTTAAAATGCAAATTTGAAGATATTTTAGTAAGGAAAGGTGTTTGAGACAAGAAACAAAAATCAAGCGATCAAAGAATACCAATTCTAGATTATTTCATTTTGAGGTTGCCATAGAAGTGTTTATTAACATGCAAAATCAGGATCAAAGTTTGGTATATGGGGAGTTGATTGAAAATGTATTGGACTTGTTCACAAATTTTACTCAGCTCAACTTGATGCATCTTAGGGAGTAAATGACATTATACTCGCAAATAATCTTTTTGTACAAGTGATACCGAAAATAAATTCTATGATAACTTTATAAGCTTTCAATTAGTTCTGTTGCTTAAAAATTAATTAGACTTAAGACACATTAGCTGGATTGAATGTCTGAAGAGGGCAAAGTGGCTTGGCTTCCTTAGTGCCCAAGTTGAATTATGAAGTGGGCAGTCGTTCATTAAAGTCTGTTGAGTTCCTTTGAGAGGTGATGCATTAAAATAGAATTTTGAGATCTTGTCTTCCCAAAATGTCATAAAGAGATTAGATGAGTGGAAGGGGGTTTTGTTGTCGAGTAGTGGGAGACTTGCATTGGAAAAGTTGAAGCTCTTGAGCATTATTTTATGTCTCTTTTTGAGAGCACGAAAGGGTGGTTACATTTCTAGTAAATTGATTATAGACATCTTATGGGAAAGCAAGGACTATAGGAGTATTGGACAAAAGGCATTTAGTGGCTTGGTGTTTTCAAAATCAAAAAGCAATGATGGTTTAGGTATGGGGAACTTAAAACACAAAAAATATGGTAAATGTTAGGAGAGTTCCAAGTGGAATGAAGGTTCCTTTGGTACAAGAATCCCATTGTTGGACAGTGCTTAAGAGTAAGTTAAAGTTGCGTAGCAATGGACCAGACAGAAGAAGTGGGTAGATTTTCAACTAGGAGTCCTTGGAAAAATATTTCACAATTTACCCTAGTATTTCTTTATTGTATGAGATTGAATCAGTTGTGGGAAGAAGATCAAATTTTGGAAAGAGGCGTGGAATTCGAGGTGATGGAGTTTTTTGTTCTTCACTCTCCATTGCTATTTTTCAGAATTCCATTGCAAGAGTTTCTATTTCCTCTTTTTTCTACAGAAGGATGGGAAAAGAATATAGCGCTAGAGTCAAGCATGACAATTCTAATTAGTTGAAAATAAGTGAGCAAAACTTCGCCATATAACCGAAGAGTTGGTTTTTATCCCTTTCAGTGGCTTCAGAGAAAAAGAACAGAATGTTTTCACAGTAAGCGTAATTGACAATGTCTAAGTATGTTTATTTGTTTACTCTTACATCTCATATCATGTTCTTCCACAACAACGCTAAAAAAATAAAAAATAATAAAATAATAAAGAAAGACAATGTAATGTTCTTCCGCCAAAAAGTGTATGTTTAAAGTGGACCTCTTAAGCTTCTAGAGAAAAACCAAGTAGGCCTGCAAGATCAAAGGGTTTTATATGCCAAACTCACACTATCCTGGGATTCAAACATTTGCAAAGCTACTTGGTTTCAAGGGACCAAGGATCAGAAAAAGTTTAAGCTCAGGTAATGTAAACAGCGGCATGCACAATAAAACTCAATTATGGTTGATTTATTGGGAAGAAAGTTGGATTCAATTTGGAAGTAATAGTTCGAAACATGAAAAACAATAAGAAGAGAGGGAACAAACACTAATATGGTTCTAGCAATCCCATCTTGATTCTAAAATAAGAACCTTGATTTATACCATTACTTCATTGAATAATGTCTAGATTGATGTTGTGCTACAGGAAAACCAAATGCTCCGAGGCTTAATAACAAATGCATGAATCCAGAAATTAACTAAATAACAAATGCACTGAGGCTTTCTCAAGCAAAATTTGTGGTCCTACCATTCTTCTTCATGTCAGTGTAAAAATAAATTTTAGAAGTTTCCCTATAACATTCTTTCCATGCATATGACTGTGTTCTTGATGTCATTCATAGACTTTGCTCCTTACAGTAATTGGCTAGATGCTGCTTGTTATAAAATTAATTTTGTGATAAGAAAAAGGTAGTCCTTAAATTTAATTGCATTCAAAAGTAACATGCTAAAACTGCCACTAGCACGTAGTTTCTATAATCGCAAGTCTGTGATATTGATTATTGAGAAAGGAAATTACAAAAGAAAGCGTGAACATCAACTCCGAGAACTACAAAAACAGAGTATGCAATAGAAATGATAATTATATGGACTTTATTTGAACACAAAGTTACAAACATATAATTCACATGATCTCCACAAAGTTCAATAAACAATGCCAAGTACTTTGAATTTTTTTCTCCAAACAATATAAATCTCGTATTTCAATTAACATGATAATGCATTGCGCAAGGTAGAAGGATTAAAAATTTGCAGGGCAAGGAATAGAATTCAGAGAGAGAGAGAGAGAGAGAGAGAGAGAGAGCATATAAGTTTATGGAAATTACTCACCCGGTCCTAAAATATTTTGATTGTTGATCTCAACAATATATGAAGATAGGAAATTGACATACAATGTAGTGTTGATATGTCCATCACTGGAGTTTTCAAGCGACGTTTGAAGCTGAGTTATCTCACTAAAAGATGAACCAGGGAGAAACTCATGAAAAAGAGGTTGGATAAGTTTTAGATCATGTAGATTGTGGAATATTCTAGGAAACAAATTGAATTTCAGTATATTTGGGACGGCCCCTCTAAAGGTAACAGGCACGTCTTCAAAGTCGCTGGCATTTTTTAGCATTCCGCTGACAAAACTCAAATGCTTCTTATCACCATGGCTCTTGGCAGTAAGGTTGAACTGAAAGCCAACAGCAGTTGCTGGATTATTTGGAAGATCAATGAACTGCCATGTGACATACAAAATGTCTCGAGTAAGCTGGCATTTGTTGCACTTAAGTGTAATGGTAGGCCCCTTGGTGGTGTTTAGACAAGAATAGTTAGCAAAGTTAGACAAAGGAGCAACTCTGTAATCAATGAAGCCTGGATTCCCTGTAACTAAAGTCCCAAGACCACGCAATTGTGCACAGCTCATACTAGAAATAGTGGTAATATTGAATTCTAAGTCATTCAAGAATGCCGCTAAATCAGGTGCATTCGTTGCTCTAACATTATGAACCTCAACACTCCTCTTCGATATGATTTGGTAGAGCAACCTGTAGCGTAAAATGTAAAGCAATCCATAAATATATCAGGCGGAGGTACATACCTCGAGACAGATAAAAGAAGTAACAGACGTAATAATAGGATTACTCACGCAGCAAACAAACCAATAAAGAGTATCCAGCTAGCAATCGAGAAAGTCCCGCCAAGCTCTGTTTTCCGCTTCTTCACTACCTTCTGGTCCTCCTACCCAAACCCATACATAGTACTATCAATTAACAACATTAGCAACTATTCCATGAATAAAGAAAAGATGAAGAAAGAGTACAGGACTTACAAGCCAGTGCCGAGTTGCGAATGAGACATCAAGCCGGCTAATCCACCAGCGGATCTTGAACCAGGGAGAGCGGCCATCGGTTCCAAGGGGAAAGAGGCGGAGGAGAAGGCAGGATCCGAGCCAGAAGAGGAGCATAGCAAGGGTGGCCTCTAAGAAAACGGCCTGCGACTGGGTAAACTTCTTGATGGAGTCAAAGGAGAATATGGTCTCAGGGAATGCCAGAGTAGAATCATAGTCGACGCCACTGTTCAGCTCCACCGCCGGTCCTAACTCCGTCAATAGCCCACAGCTGTTGCTGCTGAAATTGTAGAAGAAGCCAGGGTCGCAAGCACACAACGTGCCGTTATAGCGGAAGCTATTCCTGGGGCATTGCACTGCTTGCATTGATTATTGAACTTAGATTCTTAACGATTGGTTACCAATTTGACAGTGAAATTTGGGGAATTTGGCTGTAAGAAAAGGCGGAGAAAGGTCAAGTACAAAGAAATTCTGTTAAAAGCATAGGATCGAGGTAGCGTGGAGGGAGGGAGACAGAGAGAACGGCTTGGAGATGGACGGATGGGTCAAATATGAGTCCGGAATTTGCCCTTCGGGCCGACCGCCAACATTTCTAACTTGCCCCCCGACCATTCCACTTGTCTCTGTTTTAGTACCATTAAATTGAGTTTCTTTGGGAAATTTGAAATAGTGATTCTTTAAAAATATGGGATTAAAAAAAATAAGTTTAAGTGCAAAATTTTTTATTATGAAAATAAGTTTGAAAAAAAAAAGTATTATATTAATTGTTGTCAAATAGAAACTTGGCAAGTTTGGTAATAAACAATTATTTCAGGTCCGTCTAAATCGTTAAAAACTGCTAAAAAGTGGTTTTTTGCAAAATGAACAAGTAAATCTTGCCCATGTTTGTAGTTTAATCTCGGTCAAAATCATTAATTAATTTCAATTACATATTTATGAAATTCATAATTTTTTAATCATATATTTAATATTTCAACAATTTTTATTAAAATTTCTCAAAAATTTAAATTTACTCCTCACAAAACAAGGACCTTATTTACATGGCTTATTTTGCAAAATATGCTCTTTATAAAGACAACATTGCCCCAGATATTATGTTATGATAATTAAAGTTGATCTATTATTTTAGTGTGTGTTTGTCTATTATTATATTATATTATTTTTTTTACAGTACTTATTTTTAATCACATATTATTTATTAAAATAATATTATTAAATAAAAAATATTTCATTCTTTTTTAACTATATATTTCAATATCAATCACTATTCCATAATACATTATTCACAAATAATGAGGGGACAAACACCCCCTTAGATATTTTGCCGATAGGGAATTATCAAAAAATTATCATAGCCTCGTTTGGAAGTGACTTTTTTACTCTAAAAAATTGATTTTTTGACAGTTATTTCACTATTTCAGCCATAATTTTTGACGTCTTCACTCACGGGTAGCCCCACTTTTTATCCTAATAATCCAAAAATTAATTCTCAAAATCATTACCGAATATGCCCCATATGTTAACAATTCTTAAAATTTTGAAAAAATTTCTATTTTTTCTCAGACGATGCCTGGAATTTTCGTGTGTTACTAGTTTTACTTCTCTTGTTGAAAATAACTCAAACCACATTAATATTTCTAACTCCCCTTGTTCCCCAGTAAACCTTATTCTTCACTCTCTAGTTGATAGCTGAGGGTTCACACGAAAACATTTGTGTGGTGTTCAAAAAGTCATCTCCAGCCTAATTTCTTTTATGTGGTGTTCAAAGCGTCATCTCGGTCCTAATTTCTATGACTACAACATCATTTAGACAGTGTTTAATAGCATGAAATTACATGGAAATGAAATTTCAATTCCATCATTTTCATTTTTTTTGTTATTTGGTAGAACACTATTATTTCCATGAAATTCCAATTCTCAATTATTCTTGTCAAACAGGGCGAGCGACACCCTCTTGACAGGGATTTGAAAAATCCAGTCTGTACAAGGATGTTTTTGGAGGGAAAAAAATACACAGCGGTTCAGCACGTGGGAGAGAGAAAATAAGGCTTAATTAATTACTTATGCACATAAATGGAAGGAAGATGCCATTTACGCGCAGTGACCATTTTTTTGCGCTGAGCGTCAGTACTCTGATCAGCACGATTGTAGCTACGATTACAAGGCTGCCGGACGAGAGGCCAAATAGAAGGAAAATCTGTTGGTAAAAGCAGCCAAAATTGTCAAGATCTTAGCGTCAAAGTTATCAAATACGTACACGCACATGTGTATATAATATACCCGCTCACGTCAAATGGGAGGAAAAATTAAATCAAATAGACAATTTGGAGATCGGGTTCGATCTCCAAAGATTGGGGGTTAAGTTTAGTGTGTTATTATTAAGAAGAAAAACAAAGAAGCCCTCTTATGGCAGAATGTTTCTGATGGATTAGTCTTCAATTGTATGCCCTGTATTAATTTAATTTATTTCAATTTGGTTTAAATCCTAGTAAAAGTTTTTGACTATGAACAATTACGTTTGGTTTGTATGAGATGGAAATTGAAGCTTTTAGATTCAAATTTCTCGTTGCTGCTCTGTTTAGTCGGGGAATGGTGAGGATGAATAATTTTCTGATTTGAAATATGATCTGTAATTCTATATAATGAAGTTGAATTAGTGAGAAGGAAAAGATTGATCAAGAAATGGCAGGTTCAGAAAATGTGATGGAAGATGCGGGGTGAGATTGTCATTTTAGATGGGTTTTAAATAATTGATACGGGGATTGGGGAGCATTTGGACTAAATTTTTTACAATTATTCTTGTCAGTCGGGATTTAGCCTGGATTTTATCTAGCCATGTAGCGGGACTGTTCCAATTCTTGATTGTCTTGGAAAGTGTGGCTTTCCATGTTTTCACGGAAAATCAATTCCCACCATATAGTACTGTAGCAATTTTTTTTTCTTGGAAACAAATTCTAAGAATTATTGTAAAAAAAATATTTCCTTTTAAATGACAATTTTTATGTAAAACAAAGCCAAACGAACACCCAAAGATAACTGAATTTCTTGAATATTTATTTATTTATTTATTTTTTTGTTTTGGCAATGGAAACAAATTTTATTTCCAATACCAATAAATTCCATCCATTTAATTGACAATTTTCATGTAAAACAAAATCAAAAGAACAACAAAAAAACACTTTTATTTCAACATTTTTCACGTGAAAAATTATATCAATCAAACACAATAATTTACAATTCTCAGAAAAACAATTCTAGACAATTTAATTCTTTGGAATTCGCTTTCTAGACAATTTAATTTTATCTTTGCAATCAAACAGACCCTTAAAGATGACAATTACGTGAGTTGGAATAGAGACCGTTATTACCATCCCATCCCATTAGGGAACCCACAATGATTAAAAAATCTCAATTTACTGCTCCATAAAATTTAGCATATACTTAACATTCACATTTTGGACAACACTGCGTAAGAAATGTCTTTATTTTGCGACATTTGATGTTGAATAATATTTAGTCGTTACTTGATTTTTATTTGATGTAGGAATTCATAACACTAAATGTCGGAGAGAGTTGAGTTTTCCACGTGTTCGGAAGATTCGAATTAGGGTCCAAATTGTACCGAGAAATTTTATTGACCATTTAGTATCGACGCAAACTTTGTAGAAGAATTCATCGATCATTACATGTTTATTTTTCGTTTTATCGATCATTCTGTGGTGGTTTGCTCTTAGCATTTGATGGAGTGAGTATGGGCATTGCATTAGGTTCTAAAACGTATTCGAATATCGAAATAGGACGAAGTGTTGTAGAAAGACATGGTCAATTTTATATAGAAACCACTCGAAACGTAGTCATCCCTTAATTATATGAAGGAACTTTATAGTCCACTGTCGAAGTTTCATTGGATGATTCATTCCGCTATGGTCGAAAAATGATGTACACTTTCGTCATCAATGTGTTGAAAATATACGTTTGATATTGATGCATGCTTCCATAGAAGAATCTGCCATGCATTGCATGTTTATTTTCAATAGAATTTTTTATTATGTGGTCGTCTAGGGTCAACATACGAAAAAGTGAACGCGAATGTTGCCTTAACATTTTAAACGTAATTCATCAATTGAATCTTGAAGAGTACAAAAAGATTGAACATGAAATGGGATGGAGTAAAAGCACTAGAATCTAGATTTTAAATGATAATTTGATAGTGCCAATAATTATTGAAAGGTTGAATTTTTTCATGAAAGGCCACCTGAAATCAAACTAGAAAACCAGCCTTAATAGCTATTTTCTATCCTCATGCGCAAGCATGGGCATGATCCATACATCCTCATAGTTGAAGCATTTTTGCTTCGAATATGTTCCAAATTTGATTTCCATACCAATTTCTCCATTTTAGAGGCCAAATACCCTTATCAATGTAATTGTGAACAAATTATAACAGCTTTTTATCAATACTACGACCCTCTTTTCCCAAGTGGTTAAGGTGAATCTTCGAAAAAAAAATAAAATTGTCCACTTCCATCCATTACATGTTTGTCCAATTCTTAGGTTGCCATGACTTGAGAAATTAGAATTTGTTTTCTTATTTTGGAGATTGTTAACTTGAGACACCGTTAGTGCAGATCCCAATTTGTTCTTTGCCGATAATGGCAGTGCACATTGATATGTACTGTTCACGAAATAATTCTTTCGATTTAAAACTACCGCAAGTGTACTGTTCGTAACAAGTAGTAAAGTGAATTTTTAAAAGTCCGAATATCGTCCCTCAGAGATTGAGTAGTTCAATTCTATATAATCTAGCCTTAACCAAATCTAATTGAGTGAAAATATGATCTAAGTGCAAAAAGCCCTAATTTCAATTAAAAACCCTAATTTCAACTAAAAACCCTAATGTCAATTGAAAACCTAATTTCAACTAAAAATCCTAATTTCAATTGAAAACCCTAATTTCTCAATCAGAAACCCTAATTTCGAAATTTCTCTAATTAAACGACTTGAACACTCAAGTAAATGAAATTAAGCAAGTTTAAAAGCTAATTTGTTAAAATGAATCAAACTAAAGTCACTAGGATCACGAATCCCCAATTGAATTTATAAAAACCCTAATTTCATAAAATTAATGATTCGATGAAAATTTGCCAATTCAATGTTCCTCATTCTATCCAATATACTCTCTCGATATATATTAGACCTATTCTTGCACACCACCAGCCTATATCTCTATGAATGATGCAAACATACAAGAATGCATGTAGTTTTTTGAACAATTTAAGAATTACATAAAGCATAGGGGTATATTTCTATCCCCTATCGGACCCTATGTTAATTTACACCTTATCGAACCTATTCCACTTCTCTCGAATGTAAGAAACAAGTCATCAATACTTACACAATCATTGGCCACTAATTGCGGAAGAAAATTAATGCATGTAAATCAATCAAATTATCCAACGAATCTTTATATCAAGTTCATGAAATATAGAATTAAAATAACAAACAACGGTTCATCGATCACCTAGTAATTAAAACCCTAGCCTAGAAGATTCATAATTACAGAAAACAAAACGAAATTAATGAATAGAAGGAAGAACACCCGTATGAAAGTTCTTGAAATTTGAAATCTTGAATAAAACCTTGAAAACCCCTTTGAATCCTTGTGAAATCAGCTTCAAGTTCGTGTTCCTTGCCTCCAAAAGTTGTATTCTTCTTCTCCCTGGACGTTCTGCCCTATTTCTGATGAATTTTGGCTTTTATATAATGTCCTCACGGAGCCTTGAAAGAGTTTCAATTAAAAACGGGAAGTCAGATTTTTTTTTCTAAAATAAGGCCATGCGGCCGCATGGTGTTAAACCATGCGACCGCATGTTCAAATTTTCAGCTCATTTGAAACCCTGTCAGACCCTGTGCGGCAGCAAGGAATTATAACCATGCTGCCGCATGGTTATAAAAATTTTCCTTCGGACAACTTTCAAAATTTTGGTCATAACATTCTCTCCTAATATCCGATTGAAGTGATTCAAAGTGCATTGGGAAGAAAACTCAAAGATGTACACTTTTGATAGAAATAGGCTTTCTCAAATTCTAATGTTTACTATGCCAAAAATGGATCTCAAGTAGAAACTCAAAATCACGAGCATAACTTTTTCGCTTGAAATTTGATACTTGATAATACTTCGACCATATTTCACCTCTTGACTCCTTTCCTCATCAGATTGACCTTTAACACTCTTGAATCTTCATTCCATTTCCCGTCTCATCTATGGATTATTTGTAACTTGGCCCTCGAACTATCGCTTTGTTCTGTTTTGGTCCTTTTTCGGCTCTTTTCTTATGAATTCCATCTTTTCCATAGAAACACCTACATAGCATGAATTTAACAAGATTAAGTTATAATTCAACTACTTTGTCCATGTTTAAGTCATGTTTGTGAGCTAAATAAGTGTGTAAAAACACACTTATCATGTACCAAGTATTATAGTTCTCTATTGAGTGGCTGTCACTTAAGAACAACAGTGAGTGACTGATGTTAATTATAAGGGTTTGTGAAGTGATCAGAATAGGAACATCCATACTTTGGTCTGATGATCTATCTGTGGTTTGAGCCATCAGATAAAAGGGATAAAATAAAGCCTAACCCCTGAAAAATATTATTTGTTGTGCATTAATCAAAGACGTATCTATATCCGAAAGAAAAGCAGTGCAATACAAAGGAGAGAAATAAGTAAACAAAATAGGAAGGACTTGTTGGGGAATAATAGAAAGGAGTCTTGCAACCACTCTGATACCTTTCCCCGATCACTTTAGTGGAGTAATATCATCGCCCAATTTCACAAAACATCATGATGTTCACAATCAAATATTTCTAATGTTGTTGTTCGATCTCCTGTGTGTGAGCATCATCCAGCTTCGGAGTTATAGGGCAAGCAGAAACTGAGAAGGACCGTGTTATCCTTGGGGAAACACTGATATATGGAGGGTTATTGGGCATCATATCAGGTAAGGATTGTGTTCTCCTTTTTGAAACGCTGATATATTTAAGGTTATGGGGCGTCTGATCAGAGAAGGATAGCAATACTGAAGGTCCAAAACTGTCTTGTGTACCTTCTATGGGTTGTTCAGAATCTACTGCTTGAGGTGAAAATTGATCATCACCATAATAGTTCACAAGTGCAACCCAGAAGATCAGTAAGTTAACAAAACTTAGAATGGTCAGGATGGCATAATAATTGTCCAAACAACTTGAATCCATATCATGCCCAAACCAGCTTTTGAAACGGAGGATACAAAGTGTACTCAGAAACTTTCCGATGCCCATCACACATTCTCCAAATGGTGTCCTGTAGTCCCTTAGAGATTCAGAAAGCAGAGAACGAAAGAAACTTTGAAGCCCTCTTTCGGAAAGTCCTTTCATAATTCCCAATAAGAGGAATTGTGGAGTTAGGCAAAAAATATCCATATGCATACTTGGCTGCTTGTATATCTTGACCGAATCCAGCCAGTGAACTGCATTTTTGTAGGCAGATATGCAAGAAATGAAAGAAAATGCCATTCCAACACCGATTCTCCACTGCATTATGAGTTGTCCATTCATTTCATTACCAATCTTTCAAAATAGGAAGTCACATAGATAATCAATTGCGAAGCTTGTGACTGTTACTAATATAAGAAAAACAGTAACAGGGAATTTGTCATCAATGTTGCTAGCTTGTTTGACAAAGAAGGTGCTCCCTGTCGTTCAACCAGACTGAATATAAGGAAAGTTGTCCACATAGGAACCATCCCAAAAAAAAATTTCACTTCCTTCACTTGTGCAACAGTGCAAGTGTTGCCTGGCCTATTTTCCTCTTCAATCGCAATGGGATCCTTGTCTGACCACCTGCATATTTAACAAACAAAATTCAGTGCAGAGTCAGTAAATCAAATCAATAATCTCTTATGTATACATTTTTAAGTCAGAAACCGAGTGAAGGGACACACTCAACCATGAAATGCGATTCGCAATACATGTAGAACTTTCAAGACTGTTCAAGCGACGCTTTCTTGCAGTGGTTGCAACGACAATATATCTTTTTAACACTGCTATTTGGATAACAAATACAACTTCAAAGATGGCGCTGCACATCGGGTCATTGCGGTAGCAAAATTTGGCATCTGACCTCAACAGGTCGAATGAAAAATAAATTCCAACGGCAACCAAGTAGAAGGCAAATACAGGCCAGAAATGGATCCACCTTTCTAGTCGTTCGGCCATTCCAACCAGAGACGGGTTCAAGGATACTTCCGTTAGTGCTGTTATCACAATTATTAGCAGCAGCTTCCAGCAAAAACTTCGAATATCTGTATTTGTATTCCGGTCTGTTTCCTGAAAGAGCAGCAGTACTAGTGCTCCCTACACAAAGTCGATTGATTCAGATAACTCACGAATAAGACAGATTTAGCATCATTTGAGAGAGAAAAGTGGTGGATTTTATGTTAATCTCTCATTACTACTCACAAAGATGTAAGATATGGTGGAGCAAACCACCAATTTGAAGCGGCCCGGATAGTTATCCAATGTATTAGCAAATAAAATTTGCAGATATGTCGATGTTCCTTCCTGTAAATTAACAGCTTTAGCCGATTTTGGCAAGTCTCATAAACTTGGGAGATAAGTAATCAATATATTTACCAGCGCATTCTCTGCGAAACTGATGTAAGATGTAATGACTACAGAAATTTAAACCAAGTGTTAGAAATTAGGAAATAATGAATATTACTCTTCAGAATGAGCTACAGATATTATTATTATTATTATACTTAATTTACCATCTATAAAAAGCAGTGCTTCTTCTGATGTCATAAGAAGGTAAAAAAGCATTTTCCGACACCATTTGATTATCCTCGTAAAGACAGAGACGACAAGTGTGAGGCCTACAGAAATTTAAGCTTAGTGTTATAAAATAGGAAGAAATAATCAGAATCAGATGCAGAAACTCTTCACTCTACTTAATTTACCATATCTATATATTTCATCCATCAAGTGAAAACCGTCGTAACCAAAAAGCTTGCTCCAACACCAGTTGATTATCCTCACAATTGGGCTTTAATCGATTCCCCTGTTACAAAGAAAGAAGTGTGATAGGTCTTTTACTTCTTCAGAATCTGGGCACAAATAGGCTATATTTTAAGGTTGGAATTGAGGAAGTTAGAAGGAAATTTCTATAACGTTATCAGAAATAGTCATGATTTGATAAATTATTTGTAATTTTTATATTTCCTAATGGAATTTTTGGATACCAAGCCCCCCGCCCCGATTAATGCATGCATTCATACAAATCCATCTCCTTCCATTAGAAAGCAATATATTTACGCGTTACATATATTTCATTAAAGAAGGAACAATGTTGTGAATCAATGTCAAAATGGTCGACATCAATCAATTTTAATTGATATATATATATATATATATATATATAGAGAGAGAGAGAGAGAGAGAGAGAGAGAGAGAGAGAGAGAGAGAGAGAGAGAGAGAGAAAATTTGGTCCATGCATTCAAAAATAAGAGATTAGGTTTAGCTTTGATACATATTTTCTAAAAGGCAAACTTTGACACTCCCCAGTTCCACAAAGATAGATTTATTTATATTTTTATACAGATTAAGGAAATATAATTAATGTAGTTGAACATATGATTTTTCTTTGTACATTCTTTCTAACATGTCCCCTACATTAAATAATTAAATATGAGTAGTTCATATTTGTTGATAACAATACACATTAAATAGGTACACCTTAGAAAACTAATAAATTATCTATACTTTCAATGAAGAAAATGGCCTATAATTTGATACATATAATAAAAAGGAAAATATATCTTCATGGGACGGAAGGAATACAGATTTTCTAAAAAAATTGAAATAAAAAGATAGAAGCTGCCAAATAAAATGTTATGAATATGGAATATAAAAATTGTATGTGTTTAAACAATTACTATTTTATATTTCAGTTAAGTCAAAGTTAATAATTAATTTTAATCATATGTTTCATAAGATTCATAACTTATCAGTCATAAGTTCCATCAACTTTTATCATAAATTACAAAAAAAATCTAAACGGGGGCTTAAAGGATTTTTAAAAAAAATATTATTATCTTATGTGTTTAACTAGAGTATTATTTTAGTATATTAGCCCAAATCGAAATTGAAAATTTTTATTATTTAAGTGAAATTATTAATTTATAAAACTTTCATTTATCAAAACCACAAACAAATCGAAAAATAATCACATAATACAAATTCTAAAAGGATTAGGGTTTCGAGGGCTGCACTCTAAAATTTCAATTTCTTCCTGTCGATTTCAAATTCAGAATTCAACATTTATAAAGGCGAGATGCTATGTGTTATAAGTGGAGTTCTAGAAAATTTAAAGACTAAAATGAAAATTATGATAAAGTTTAAGAATCATAATTTAAGTCTATAGAATATTAGAGTGATGTCTTGAAATGAGAATAGTGAATTTTATTATCTTAAACCCGAGATTGAGCCTCAAATGCAAAAAGTGTAAAGTTTAGGGACTAAATTAAAAATTGTGAAATATATTTTCAGACAATAATGTTACAAGACAAGATTAATTATTGAAGAGAATGATCGTCAGATGGTAAGAACTATAATTTGTGCACTTTTTGATAATTTTGAGATGTTGAGAAATTAAGTTTTAACTTCAAATTTTTTATTTTTATTTTTTAAATTGGGTCAAATAATCAAGTATTGAAAAAGAGAAAATAACTCTATCAATATTAGACTCATTTTGAAATTCATATTAAATGACTAATTATGGACTCATGAAAAAGTTGATCTGAATAAGTCAAATTCGAGTTATATCTCATTAAAGTAAATTAATTGGTGGTAATATTAATTTCTATATTATAGCAAATTATCATAATAATATTGGACTCATTTGATAGATCCTAATTAATCCAATAGATTAGACTCAAGAAAAAAGTTATTTTTAACAAGCTTGAACTAAGTTAAAACGGGTACGAAAAAACTATGTTTAATTGAAGTAACTAATCACTGTTGGTTTGTGAAATTTTCTCTAAAATTCATCATATGTACAGCAAGCATCCACGTTTAGGTCAAAAAAATTTAGAAGAATTTATATAAAAGCCGTCCCTCTCTCTCAATTTTGCACAAGTCAATAATTCTTAAAGTTAGAAATTTAAAGCAGTAAATAATTCATCTATGCCTGGGCTTCGTCCATGGTGGATGATCCACCTATGGTAGACACGTCTTCACATGTTTCAAGGAGGACTCTATTTGGGATGCTTTGCACCTCTCATGTCAAAGCGGTTAAATTTCCTCGCTTGGGGGATCATACATCCATGGAAGGCTTCATCTTCAAAGGTTTCAAGGTGGGGCCATTTTGGGGTATTTTGCACCTCTCCTATCGAAGTGGTTAGACCTTCTTGCATGGAGGATGGTTCATCCTTATCAAGGTTTCTTCCACAGTGGATGATTTATCCATCGAGGCTTCGTCTTTGGTGTTTAATTTTTTATATGTTGTACGTATATAAATTTTATGCTCTCTATAAAATTTTCATAATTTCGGATAAATGTTTACATTGTCAAATTAATTTTTGCAACTAACTGTGTGACCCGAAAAACTACACCGTCTTACTAAAATTTTCTTGAAATCTTTCCAAAAGTCAATTTCCTAATTTTAAGTTTATATTATAAAAATATTAAGTTGTTCCATTATTTATTACTCTTTAAAAATTAAGGCATGTATATGGTGGACAAATAAACTCAAAAGGAAACTTCATCAAGGTTATCAAAAGTCTTTTTTGCCGGCTCAGAGTGGTTTTGACTGAATTTCACTTGTCTTTCGTATACACCGCCAAGTAGAAAGTAGTGTATGCGCCCTCCGGAGCACATCCAAGTTGGCAAAGGAAGGACAGTGCGGGGCTCGCAACCCCAGCGTGGGGAGTTCGATTTCTGATTGGAGCAGCTGAGTGTTGTAATAACCAGAGGAAGGGTTGGACCAGTTTGGTGATGTAATAACCATGGAGGAGGCTCCCTTGGGGCCAGGAGTATAAAGGATGTTCGAACCCTGGTCAACTTGGGCACATCTCGCGATTTACCTTCCTGAGCTGCTAAGGGGTCGGAAGTTCAGGGACGAGGATATAGTTTGGCGTAAGCTGGGACACCTCGCTAAAAAAAAAAAAAAAAAAAAAAAAAGGGAAAAGTAGTGTATGCTACATTTGACTTCTATGAAGAAATTTATTGTGATGACGTTCCCTTCCGCAAGTTTTAATTACTGTGGCCAAGTCCAATCCTCACACCATAATATTTCACCATTTTGCATTAAAGCAAAAATTTGATGCAAACATTCTCCGACCCAACACCATAATTTGCATTATTTTATACCAAAATGGTTATCATTTTGCCATTTTTTTTTCCTTAATTGAACAAAATCTTCTTCCCTTTGTGGCCTTTTTTTGTTATCCAACATATTTTAATTCTTAATTTAATTGTATTATTATTATACAACACTAGTTCGACTTTACAATATCATGATTCAAAATGTAGTACACTCTTTTTTAATATTATGATTTAATATTTTCTTAATTGTGGTATTCATTGTACTATATTTTTTAAATTTATTAATAAATTCAATATTTTCGTTAACTAAACGTGAATATGTATTTAGTAATTTATGTAGTAAATAAATAAATAAATAATTTTGGAGATAAATAAATTGCCAAGAGTTAAAAAAATAAAGAAAATAAAGAAACACTGTTCATTTTTGCAACTTTTGATATTGGGTTGAATATGTTTTGATATGGTGCAAGATTTGATACAAAATAGTGCAAAACATACATTAAATTTTGGTGTTGCATAGGAGATGAACAATTAGGCGCAAAA